CATTCACCACCACCAGTGTCTAGACCCCGGGGCAGGGCCGGCCCTTGGCATAGGCTGTATAGGCGAATGCTAAGGGCGCATCAATCAATGGGGGGCGCCGAAAATTGAAAAGTTAGAAATTAAAAAAATTTAAAAAACATTTATTTCATAACAACACAATTTCCCGATTTTGTATCAACAAAGTACATCTCATTATCTTATACTAACAGAACTACGCCTATATTGTGTACAAATCAAGTTGAACCGCCCCAGTAAAAACCAGAGGTTTATGTGAAATAGTTCTTTTTTTTAAATAATGGTTTAAGTGTGCAATTATAGGTTTTAATTTTGTATTTGTGTTAATTTAAAATAAATCAAACTCCCAAAAAATGTATACAGCTTTTATTTTTTCTGCAGGTCTCCCTTGAAAAAGAGATCATTGATCTCAATGGGATTTTACCTGGATAAATAAAGGTTTTGAATTGAATTGAATTAACATCGGAATTTACTGTGTAAGCGGCCGCGGGGGGGGGGGGGGGGTTCTCCCCTCCTGAATGATACTCCCGCACAACGGGGTCTAATCGCCAAAACTCCACTACATTCATTTGTGTATTCCTGGCAATAAATATGTATTCTTCTTACATCAAAACCGTCTCTCCTGATTGAAATAGCAATAGCGTGCAACATTAACATTGCACCACATTGCAAAACCTGCAGGAACTCACTGTCGCTCAACTGAAGCATTGTATTGATTGGATACCATCACATAATGTGATAGTGATTCAAATGTAACTGTGAAATATCAATTTCTCTTGTTTTCAAGGTACATTACCTCTTTGCAATACTGAGCCAGGATGTCGTTAGACTTTCGCATCAAATGGTTGTTGACAGCCTCTCTGGAGACGATGTGTTTGAATTTCAAGAGCATGTCAAAGGCAGCGGCCGAAGAGCGCTGTGTCTTAAACGACTGATCAATAAGGTCGATGGCCACCAGCTCAATAGCCTGAACAGACACATGTGAGAAGTTAATCAGCTTGATAACTAAGGTACAGCAAAAAGAAAATTATGTTATTTTATTTGGCGCAAACTTAAAAACACACTGATACGACAATGCTTAATTCACTTTCATGTTGAATAGCTTCTGAATTCCAGATGTCCCAAACTCACCTGAACTGTCTTGTTAAAGTCTTGCATGATCGTTTTCCAGCCACTCATCATATGGATTTTGAAAATATCGCAACTGAATTCTTCAATAGGCACAATCAGCCCATCCACTCTGCACAGCACATCATCGATGCGTTTTGGGTCACTCGTCACACCTTTTAGCTCTGGACCAAAGATGTTATAGAACTCTTCCAAAATCTGCACAACACAAATAAAGAAAACACTTTTTCAAAAACCTGAGATATTTTTTTGAATACAGTCTGAAAATCCGTGCAGTATATGTACACACAGACCTGCAAAACATTCAGCAGGTCCTGGCAGATGGAGGCAATGTAGTCGGTCATCTCAAACAGTTTCTTGCGGTCAAATTCCCAGCGTTGATTCCTGCCTGATTCTTCAATTTCAGCGCGCACCTCAAAGTAGGAGGATTTCCACAGGTCGAGGACCTGTTTAGCATCACGCACCTTGGATTTGGCCACTTCCCTTTTATTTCTGTCCAAGCACAGCTCATTGTTAAGTTATAACGAAACCTCAAAACAGCTTATCTAAATAAAGCACTGACAAATATTGATATAATAAAATAGGATTCATTCAACTCTCTCTATAAGTTTAAATGTATTCACACATACTTGAATAGAGTGCTGACTCCGATTATTGGACGCACACGTTCACACAGCCGCCAGGCAGTATGCTCCATGAGAGGGACCATGCGCTCATTTGTGTTGTAGTGGCAAGAGATCATCCACACTACTTGCAGACTGCCCATCAAATCAGGGATGGTCTCAAGGATCCCACCCAAATGTGATGCAGTAGCTAGATTCTACAACAGACAACGGTAAGGTTGATAGAAGTGACGGTGAGGCAGGAGGTCATTTCTGTATACCACCAGTTCCACTGTCCTTTCTTAAAAGACAAATAATATTTCAATCTTAAAAATATTTAGCGGTATTCCTATAAAAAATGCAGCTCACCATGAAGTTTCTTTTCAGCGTGGTTAGGAAGCAAAAATTGTCGTCTGCCTCCACGCGGTATTTGGTGAGTGCAGCGACCACTCCTTCCAGGGTCTGAACAATGCTTGAATCTGCTTTGGTCATCACTTCCAGAATCTTCTTCACTACGGGCTGATTGAGTTGCTCACTCAGAACATTCAGGACAGATGCACGCCCCTGCCAAAGAGCTATCTCGGCCAAAGGGCCAGGAGCCTGGAGGAAAATGAAAACTGATGTTCACATTTGTCAATTGGAAATCACAGTGTATGTGTTTGTGTTGTGGCTGTTTCACAAAGATTCACAAACCTGTGGCTTATTGTTTTGTTGTTCCTCCACAACAACAGTAATCTTAGTCTGCCAGTTCATCAAACACTGCTCCAACTTCTCCACCATCTCTGGGTCAGACAGCAGTACGTCTACCGTTGGCTCCAGGTCTAGCTCAGGTATGTGCAGCACAATCTCATCTGCGACAAAGGTAATGATCTTGAAATTGAACTGTGAAATCAACCCTAATGCATTGAAAACTCGATTTACAAAACAAACCAGAACTTCTTCCCAATAGTTTACAGTAAACAAAGTCCTTTAACAGCAGGGAAAGCGAAGAATATGTTGGGAATGTGAGAATTTGGGGAATACCATGGAATTGTTTTAACTCTTTGGAGTTCAATACAACCTTTACTTGTTTTTCTAAAAGTCAATTTCTGAGAGATTGTGAAATAAAAAACAATGAGCCCATGTTATATTAAATAAATCAAACCTTCAATATAAGTTTGTTGGATAGTTGTCTCAAGTTGGCCCAAAAACTTGTACGTCCTGTGAAGCAACTCATCACGAATCGTGAATTGCCCACTCGGCTTCGCTGGACTCCCCTCTTCTCCCTTTCCACCGCCAACTTCCCCGCTCTCATAACCAGCACCAGTCTCCCTCATCCGCTCGGCAGTCATTAAGGGTATATACATCTGAACACAGAGACATGTCAAATGTATCAAATAAGAAGTTTTATTCATATTATGTTGATGGTAACCATTTTTCCCAATGTTAATGGTTGCTGCTGGTTGTTTGTCATTTTTTTCGTACTTACATTGACAAGTCTTTGATGCAGGGAAACAAGGGGATCTCCACTATGACGACCAATGGTAAATAGCCTGCCCATCACAAAAGGGGTCTCCTTCTTGTTCATTGGCTGAACAATGGTGTCTATTAAAAACACACATAACAACATCTTGGTTTATCATTTGCATGTGCAATAGAGAGAGAATGATATTGATGTGTCTTCTCACCTTTTGTGTTCCTGATAAAGTAGAACACAGTAGATTTCACAAATTGCTTTGGGAAATCATTTACTGACATATGAAGCTCAATGTGACGAACAACTTGGAGCTCAAGCCCCTAGAAACACAAAACAAGAAATGTCAAACTCATACACAATTGGAAATTACCACAAGAGGAAAACAATTAAAGTTTGATCTCACATGTACAGTATGGGACTTACTTCACAAATCTCCTCTGAGTCTGAGGGTATCTCTGCTCCACTTGGAGTGCAATCAGCATCTGAAGCATCATCTGTCTTCCTTTCTGTGGTTATCAAGGGTGTAATTGCAGAATAGGTGAACATTTAAAAATAAAGGACTAAAAACCTCCCTCAAGACAAGGGAAAAAAGAGAAGGGAAACATCCTTTTTCACCAAATGTATTAATCAGGATCTGAAGTATATAAGGCTACACATCAGTTATAGTCTTTGGTGGATAGAACAGCTTTAAAAAACACAACTCGATGACATGAGGATGATTGAAGCATGGCATGAAGTATGGTTTTCCATAGAGGTAATAACAACTGATACCAATAGGCCCCCGGTGGCTTCTTCTTGCTCCTTTGACCAACTTACAGTATAACCAGGTTCCTTTTACAGTGAAACACAGGTTTTGCCACTTTTGTAAGGTATTATATTTAGTATTTGGAGATATACTGCAGTAACATTCAAAAACCACCCTGCAGTAAAACAAATAATACTAATTAGTTCCATCTAGTTAATCTTTTTAACATTAATGCATCAATAATTATAATCAAGACATACCATATATATGATTCTGAAATGGGCCAATTTGTATAATATGCACTTTAACTTTTTGTAGGCCTACAACATTTTTTCACTTTTACTTGAGTCATATTTTGAATGCAGTACTATTACTTGTAACACGAGTATTCCTTCTCTCAGGTAAATTTACTTTGACCTAAGTACAAGATCTGAGTACTTCTCCCACCTGTGATGATCAACAACCTGTGACCCGGATGTAAGCTAATAGCTACATGACAGTCACAAACTTTTGCAAACTTACCGAGTGGAATGTTAACTTCAATTTCTTCCTCTCTTACAGTTTTGAAAAACAGAAGACACGATGGCGAGTTTTCATCGGAGACAAAGTCCAAAAAGCGGAGAATGTCTTCTTCTTCTTCTCCATCTCCCCGACCGAGTAGCTCGTCGAAAGGGTTGGGATTTTCGGGCAAAACGAAGCCAGCAGTCACGCACTGCCGGATCCACTCCACCCGTAAATCGTCGTATTTTACCATATTGTTCACCTAGTTAACATTTGAAGAAGTTATTGATTCGTAACTACTTTTTTTTGTTAAATGTCCTTGGAAACTTCATCCTTGTAAGCTTGCGGTAACCAAGCAGCGTATGTAGTTTGGCGTTACCATAGTAACCACCAAACGTCTCGACCTTACAACTAACGGTCGGATGGGACATTATGATCAATAAGAAACATTGTGTGACCCGGATGTAAGCTAATAGCTAAATGACAGTTACAAATAAAACACTTGGAAGGGTAGATGCTAATACAAATCATTTATGGTCTTTGATGGATAGAACAACTTTAAAAAACACAATTTATTGACATGATGATTTTCTCAAAGAACATGAACATGGAGTGTTTGTCAATGAATTTTGATTCTGAATATAAAACAAAATGGCAAGATTAGGACTGAATTAGAAGACATGTTACCCCTTCAACCAACCCCTAAAACAATCCTACAGGCAAACAGGTGGTAAACAAACCTCACTTGCCACAATAAAAAAAGCGACCGCCACTTGTGCCAAGATTATAAACTATATTGATCCACTGTTGAAAGTTCACACACATGGTTATGACTTTCAGAAATATGTTGTATGTAAAGTGTTTTGCCAGTGAATTTTCATTAATACAATTTTTTGCAAACTAGCTTTGCATTACAACTTTTGCAAATTAGCAAAAAACTTCTCGTGCCTAATATTAGTACATAAATCAACGTTATCCAAGAAAGATTTAATACAGCCGGGCAATTGATTTGGATGGCAATAGGGTCTTTCAAAGTAAGAGCTGGGTCAAAAACTGCTCTGAATGTTAATCTGTACAGTATGTGGCCGACTCAAATCCCCATTAACATGAATTTAATGTTTTTAAACACATCATTTAAAAAAATAATAAATTAAAAAATATTTCTATAAAGTATATACATCTCAGCATCACACACCTTCTCAGATCCTTCGCAGCGTTTTGGTAACATACAGTAAGAACACAAGAGAAACTGAAGAATTATACAGTATGCTGTGGCTGGGTTGTAATTATGTAAGGCAATCAGTGCAACAAAAACTGCCAAAACTGAAAAGTATTCATACAAACAATATTCCAAAATTGATTAACCTAGGAACAGAGGAGAAATGGAGGATAATATTATTTTCTTAAAAAGGTAAAATTTATGTTATTTTTTAAATGTTTATCCTGTCTATATAGCAAACCCCATGTGTTCATTCCTGTTAAGTTATCTCATACTAAAATCACTCAATCTTTTTCATATTTTTCAATGTACAAATGTCATCAACTGTAACCAGGATGCCTCAGTAGAAAATTAGTTTTACGTATACAAGTTACGTTTCAATCTAAGCCTCACATTTCAACCTCAAGTGAAGCAAACTGATGCTGGTGGTACAAAACACCCCGTCTTACATACACTTGCAATTATTGTTTCAAAGATGACAAGAACATTCAAAATCCTCTCATGACTTCTTTAGAACATATCTTTAAAAGCAGCTTTTTTTGGCTCCTTTAACCACCTAACTATTACCAGATTCCCTTCACAGTAAGCCGTCATGTTCAAAGCTGGATGGCAGGAGAGAGAAGGAAAAGGGGCAAAGCTTGACTCCAGTCCCGCTGTAGAATTTATTTTGGAACTCCACCCTGAGGAAGAAACAAGCACCCACTGTGAATATAAAACACAGAGATAATTCAAGGCCCTTTTATTGACATAAGTGGTTATTGTTATCTTACCAGTGCAACCGGAGAGCATGAAGGAATGCAGACAGACCCTCCATTACCAGGAGGATGGAGACAGTAAGAACGGCAAACAGGCAAAACACAGGCACCAGGAATAAAACCCCGAGAGTTGTGTCCATTCGTAGTCCAACTCGCATTACCATGGCCCACAGCACCTCTGATAGCTCTGTGAAAGCAAAGAAAAGAGAACGTGCACAATCAAAGTTACAGCAAAGTGATACAAAGCACATTCAGGCTGATCTCAGGTCTGTGTGGTTCTGCATTTGTTTACTCCGATGTAGACTTCTACTTATGTCCATAATGATGCCAAAAACGTAATTTTCAAGTTCTGCAGATCATTTAATCAGATTTGTTCCCTTTTATCACAGGTTAATTATAATTGGTAGTCAGAATGGGGTCATATTCCTCAGTTAAAAAGGGAACAAACACAATGTGGTTATCATCTCGCAAAACCTAGACAAATAATGATACTCTTGGGTTATATTTAATTGTGTACACTCCCCGTGTTTGGTGTGTATTTTCACAGGTTTGAAAAAGGGATCGACTAACTCAGGGGTTCCCAACCTTTATTGTGCCAAGGACCGGCAAATACATTAAACAATATGCATCCAAAACATATTAACAACGTTTAAAAAATAACCAATGTCGTTTTTTGGTTTTTCGGAAAAACCAAAAAACCGACGTTATTCAGTTTTTAAACCAAAAAGGGAAAACAGATAAATCAACGTTTTGGTTTTGTTTGTATGATTTACGGATAATCCAGTGATGGGAAAACGAGGAGAAGGCGCATTATGAAGGAGGTGTGTGTGTGTGTGTGTGTGTGTGTGTGTGTGTGTGACACTGGCATTTGTTTTCAGAAGATATTATGATAGTGACGTTCGTTGCGGTGCACGTCCGACAGCATTTAGCACTACATCGAGATTAAGATTAACTAATTTATTTTGGGAACACCCGCATATATGCTACCTATGGAGTTAGCCAGATGTGTGTAAATTACTGTTCATGGTCATTTGAAAACAAATGCCGGTTTCGAACAGACACAAACACAGAGCTGAGCAGAGCACACACACATCATGTGCCTTGGTGACTGGACATCTCCTTCATAAAACTAATAAAAGGGGGAGTAATCGGGCAGTTTGATGTGTGTAGAGATGTGTGTAGAGGTGTGTGTGGTTAACACGTAGCAGCCTGCAGTCACTCGCTGTTCTGATGAAGGTAAACACAGCGAAAGCGGTGCGTAAAAAGGCACAGCTCTCGGCGCGCTGGTGCTTTACTTCTCAGAGGCGGAGTTACACATCCCGCTGCCTCCTGATACTGCCTGCAGCCATTTCATGAAGTGAAGGAGGTTTTCCTTCTATAAAACAGCTGCGGGCAGGCAGCAGATACCGTGAGAGTCCCGGACATGAATTCATAGATCAAGGCAGACTGGTTTACTCTCCTGTTTTGCCAATCCGGTGCTTAAACAAAGGCAAGGCAAGTTTATTTATATAGCACTTTTCAACACAAGGCAATTCAAAGTGCTTTACAAAAAAACGAAAGACATTAAGAAAATGGCATTTAAATCAGTCATTAAAAAGAAAAGCTAATAAAATCCCGAATCCCTCGGAACATCATAAAAGCCATTTTCAACGGTTATCTGGTGAAAGATTAACTAGGCTACTGGATGAAATAATATGACTGGTATAGGTGCGAACATTAAACACTTTTTGAAAAAAATATTATGATAAAATATTTATATATTTATAATTCTGCAAATATTACGATAAACTCACAGCTATTTCGCGGCCCGGCAGTAACACCTCCGCGGCCCGGTACCGGTCCGCGGACCGGGGGTTGAGAACCCCTGGACTAACTGAGTGTACTGTAAACCAGGGGTTCCCAACCTTTATTGTGCCAAGGACTGGCAGATACATTAAAAAACAATCGCGGACCGGTTGTCAATTTTAACTGATTTTAATATTTACTCACCAGCAGGTAGCAACAGAGGCTAATTGTATGTAACAGCCTGAACAAATACTAGAACAATATGCATCCAAAACATATTAACAATGTTTAAAAAAGAACCGGTGTCGTTTTTTGGTTTTTCGGAAAAACGCCGTTATTCAGTTTTTAAACCAAAACGGGAAAACAGATAAATCAACGTTTTGGTTTTGTTTGTATGATTTACGGATAATCCAGTGATGGGAAAACGAGGAGAAGGCGCATTATGAAGGAGGTGTGTGTGTGTGTGTGTGTGTGTGTGTGTGTGTGTGTGTGTGTGTGTGTGTGTGTGTGTGTGTGTGTGTGTGTGTGTGTCACTGGCATTTGTTTTCAGAAGATATTATGATAGTGACGTTCGTTCCAGTGCACGTCCGACAGCATTTAGCACTACATCGAGATTAAGATTAAACTAATTTATTTTGGGAACACCCGCATATAGGCTACCTATGGAGTTTGCCAGATGTGTGTAAATTACTGTTCATGGTCATTTGAAAACAAATGCCGGTGTCGGACAGACATAAAAACACAGAGCTGAGCTGAGCAGAGCACACACACATCATGTGCCTTGGTGACTGGACATCTCCTTCATAAAACTAATAAAATGGGGAGTAATCGGGCAGTTCAATGTGTGTAGAGGTGTGTGTGGTTAACACGTAGCAGCCTGCAGTCACTCGCTGTTCTGATGAAGGTAAACACAGCGAAGGCGGTGCGTAAAAAGGCACAGCTCTCGGCGCGCTGGTGCTGCACTTCTCAGAGGCGGAGTTATACGTCCCGCTGCCTCCTGATGCTGCCTGCAGCCATTTCATGAAGTGAAGGAGGTTTTCCTTCTATAAACAGCTGCGGGCAGCAGATACCGTGAGAGTCTCGGACATGAATTCATAGATCAAGGCAGACTGGTTTACTCTCCTGTTTTGCCAATCCGGTGCTTAAACAAAGGCAAGGCAAGTTTATTTATATAGCACTTTTCAACACAAGGCAATTCAAAGTGCTTTACAAAAAAATGAAAGACATTAAGAAAATGGCATTTAAAATCAGTCATTAAAAAGAAAAGCTAATAAAATCCCGAATCCCTCGGAACATCATAAAAGCCATTTTCAACGGTTATCTTGTGAAAGATTAACTAGGCTACTGGATGAAATAATATGACTGGTATAGGTGCGAACATTAAACACAACCCCCGGTCCGCGGACCGGGGATTGGGAACCCCTGCTGTAAACTATCATACTTACGGGCATGTGCCAGGCTCAGAGCCCAGAGCCTGAGGTAGGAGGCTGTGTTGGAGACGCAACCCAGGCAATACTCTATAGTGTGAATGGCCTGATGAAGGAACTCATCTCCAAAGTCAAACTATGACAAAAACAAAACAAAGTCAATGAAGGAATTAGTGACAAAAATCAATGGTTGCTCATTAGTACGTTTAAGATGAACAGGTAACTATCTAGTTGTGTGATTAAGACCCCGACCATACGAGGACGAAAATGGCTAAACGCATAGGATTAACGCAATCGCAAACAAGCTTCCGTCCACACGCAATAGTTATCCGGATAGTGTCTGCCCACACGAGACCGCTCCGTTTAGCTCCAACCGCTGGAGAAGCTGCAGTACATATGCAGGAGCCTGTACGTGGCGCTGTAACTTCCTCCACAAAAGCAGCGAAGAAGCATGGTTGTCATGGTTGCCCTTCTGTTTATTCTCCGCGGTGGGGGCCGAGGGAACCGGGCAGAGTTTTTCGCCCGTCAACGTGTATTAAAGTTGAAACCTTCCGACAAAATTATAAAAGTGCCGGTCAAAGGTCTTCTTTGTTATTTATTGAGCTTTAAAACTAATGAATAACGACTCTATATAATATAATAATAAAAATACACGGAGCCTCTCTTTTTCCTCCCTCTCTTCGGACAGCGCCAGTGTCTGTCTCATGCAGCAGCTGATCCATTAATGAGTGACCCGGCCGACAGTAAAAATAAACATATTTATAACTAGTTTAGGTAGTTTGAGAGGTGTCTCCGTCCTGTCAGATTAGACTTCACTCGCGTTTATGTCCATATCGAGAGAAAGATAAATAATCTGAATTCAGTGTGCAGTTTACTTTGACGCGGGGGTGAGCAGCAGAGGTGGGGAGAGGCGGGGCTATTGCCTCATCATTATCAGAAAATGATCGCTGAAGCTGCAGTACATATCCACAAAAGCAGCGAGTAAGATCCCCCCCCGGATGTGTAAGTCTGCTGTAGATGTTGCACAAAGAACTGTAGCATGGTCAGTAGCGTCCGGAGCACGATAGCAACTCTGCGATCCGCCATTGTTGTTGTTGTTGGTGGCGAAACACATCAGCAATGGCGCGGGGTACGCGGAGGTGAGCAGCAGAGGTGGGGAGAGGCGGGGCTATTGCGCAATCATTATCAGAAAATGATCGTATAGGGCGAACACACGGAGCCGTTGGACCCCCCAGAGCGTTGCGTATGCCGTTCTATCCACCTTGGGACCCGTTATCGTTTCCTCAGTCGTTTAGTGCCGTATGCGGTCCTCGTGTGGCCGAATGGTCTATATGACACTAAACAGTAACGCAAACGGCCGTTTTTGTCCTCGTGTGGCTGCAGCCTAAGCTGACCTCCTCTGTCGGGCGCTCTCCACTGGTGGAGAGATCACTGTGGCCGCTGCCCTCCTCCATGTCATGAGCCCTCATCAGGTAGAGCTCCTCTTCACTGTTACGCCGTACACGCTCATATCCCTGAGAACACGCAGAGAAGTTACTCAAACCTTTAGATTTCACATTCAGCGATCAAATATTTGGAATAGTAGTTCACACAGTATGCAAACGATCACACACAGACATGCACTTCGAACTCTCACCCTGTACATCCCTATGCGGTTGCTGCCGTTGTGAAGCCAGTAAAGGTAGACAGGTTTCCCCAGGAGTAAGACAGGCACGGAGAGAACAGCAATGACCACCAGAAACACCTGCAGGCCAGTCTAGAAGAAGCAAACAACAAATTGTTATGATCCGTCTCGGTGACATCTCCATATTTTTTTATATTATTTTAAAACACATTTAATTCAGATTCATTCATTTACAGTGTATAGTTTTTACTGAAAGCATATTCAAATAACATTGTGAAAAAACCATAGCTTTAATCAAAATACATTTGATAGATAACTACATATTGTTAATTCTAAATAAATACAGAGCAAGCTCTCAGTGACATTTAATGTGTGTTTTAAAGAACATTAGACTTTATCACTTTACTCAGAGCAAGGACATGATTTACACTGTTGCAGAAATGGTGCTTTATATTAGTTTCTCACCTGTCCTGGGTAGAGGGGCTGCATTCCGTCCCCCTGCATGAGGAACATGTTTATGAAGTGGATGAGGATGCTTGGAGCGAGTCGGGAGTCCTTAGCAGTGAACACCAGCCACTTGTAGATTATCATGAACGCCAGGTAGCCAAAAAGACACAGCAGGAAGAGGAGCTCAGGGAGAAATACCAAGTAGAGGTTGTACTTCTTCTTAAAGTGCCTGTTTTTGATGACAAAAATAAGACAGGCTGTTAAAAACGATATAATCAAACAAACATAAGTGCATTCAATGTAAAAAAAAAAAGTTACTTACAAGTGATTATATGTGCTGAGGATGACCCCAAAGCTCATGTGTATGATGCCCAATATTACTGACATCTTCATCTTATACGAGTTCAGAAATGTAAGCCGGTTGGATGCCAAGTTCCAGATCTGTGCACAGAAAGATGACAGATTGTATTTTTATATTCTATAAAATGTGATTTTGAGTCCAGGGATTTAACACAATTCATTGTTTCCACACAAGGGTGTGAAATATTTGACCAATTATCAAGCCAATAAATAAGTGTTTACTAATACTGATCTTATTTACTGTACCAGCACCAGACATGGCAATTCCACATTAATGGTTGTTCCTTTGTCATTATTGTTCTTACAGATTGTTAATTAATAAATAATTAGCATTTGCTCAAATCCTGATTTTAGGGAATTATTGTCAGTAGAAAAGGGTGCAGCTGTAGAGACAGAATAATGTACTTGTGTATGAGTGCATGTGAAACTTTAAGTGCACATAATCCTGGAGATGTGTTTATTGCGATTCTAAGTAGGACATTTGCTCTATAACAACATCACAATGATGAGTAGCAATCAGGCCCATCTTGTAAATGAGGTTTTATAGGATAAATCATGTCATTCATGATGACTAGTCCTTCAATACTCACCGGGTCAATTCCCAGAGGATACGGTCCAGTGAAAACTCCCGTAACATTTGGATCTAGAGTGAGAAAACGATTCCCACGGATATCAGCAATCCTGTGGGAACACACACAAAACAGCCTTGTATCAAATGAAGGTCAATGTGAAAGTAATCCATAAGACTTCTCGGTTTTATTTCTTAAAACAACTATAGTAGGTTCTTTATAACACTTCTTCACAGTAAATACTTTCTTTGCCTGCTTAGCTGCTTTTACTGTTACAATGAAGAAAGAATTCCTTCTAGGCGGCAGGTCTCCCTTGTAAAAGAGATCGTTGATCTCAATGGGATTCTTTACCTGGATAAATAAAGGCTACAAACAAACTCACTTCCACACCCCCTCTGTGAACATGGCCTTCACACTCCATCCAGAACCAAAGATGTTAAGGGACTTGGAGAAGCAGTCGTTGTAAATCAGGCCAGTGTAGATGGAGAACAGGCCCATCATCAGGATGATATAACGCCCCTCAAAGAATGTGTTCCAGATCTGCACACACATCAGTTACACTTTGAACATGCTATATGTCACACAAATGAGTATCAGGTCAAAAATAGCTTTGGAGTACTCGCTCACCTCATTTCTGGTGTTTTTAAGTTTGCGGTTGTTCTCGTACAGCACCATCCAGAGAGCAAACAGAGCCATGATCGCTCCATGGCCCAGATCCCCAAACATCACCGCAAACAGGAATGGGAAAGTGATGATTGTGAAAGGAGCTACAATTTAGAAGGAGGAAAAATTAATTTTTCTGATGTCTACAATCACAATCATGTTGCCGTCACATAAGAGAAACAAAGCATCCCACTCACCGGGGTTAACTTCTCTGTAATTGCCCACTCCATAGGCGTCCACAATGTTCTGGAAGCCAGAGGTAAATTTGTTGGTCCTTATCAGTGTGGGGGGAGCGTCGTTGGTGGGGATGCGATTGACAAAGGAAGGAACCGTCGATCCGCTTTTTCTCTGAAATATCACACCATAATGTTAGCATTTTGCCATTAAGGTAATATACCATGTCTTGAAGCATTTAGCAAAAGAAAAACAATACATGCAGATAAAAAGGAAACCCTCAGCTTTATTTATCTCTAATCCAAATACACACTCTGTCCTCTACAGCCTGCAAACTGAATGAATAGTGGCTTTTCAGAGCCCTCCTAAAATCCTGTCTTTTAACTAAACAGGGATAAATAAAAGCAATGTCTCATTCAGTAATCTAATGATAACAATACAACATTTCATGGAGCAAATGTCCTGGTTAAATAAACAGAAAGCCTGTGGTGGAGGCAAAGTCAGAAATAGAGCAGTGCTGTTTGGAGTTTCCTCACCGATCCTTCTTCCAGGGCCCTCTGCAGTGTGGGAATGTCATCGACAGGACACCACACCTCAGCGATCAGACACTTGTTAGTAACGTCCAAACTACACAGGTTCAGAATATAGTAGATGGCCTTCATCTTCTTGACCTGGATGACCCAGGTGTAGACGGATTCTGAGGCCTTCATCAAAACCTGCTTCAGGTAGTCCTCCGTCCTGTGGAGTACCTGCACACGGTGAGAGGTAAACAGGATGCTTAGTGGTGTTCAGAATCTAAAAGATATTCAAGACTTTCAACATTTACAAACCTTGACCCTTTTTTAAACGAACATGAACAAAGAAAAAGATGCACTTATATTTTAAACACAAAGCTTTTGTGAGTGTTTTTATGTGTGAATTATTAAGATTAAGACAAAGAGCAGAGAAAGAAAGGGGAGTGGATGAAAAAAAACATGCATGAAAGAAAAAAACCTTTCCAGCCGAGGTCTCATGTTGATCATGTGCTACAGGGGGTGAGTGCAATTCTATTTTTTCGTCATAGTGGGTTAAAGCTACCACATTATTCACTCAACAGAACCCATAGCTGCCAAGTCTGGCTCAAATAATTGTATTGGGTTCATATTTTAGAAAATAAATCAGCCATTTTAAGATTCAGTAAAAACACGGCAATGTGCAAGCTCGTGTTGGATGTTTCTTGAAACTGGGAAAAATAACTCATTAGGCGCTTTCACACCGGAGTACTTTTCCCAGTATAGTTCAGAAAAATTTTGTTCACACCAAAAAAAATCCGGAACTAGAACTTAGTTCATGAGAACCTTTCCACCCCCTTTTCAGTCCCTGCTAGAGAGCAGGTACTTTCATGGGAGAAAAAGGTTCCCACTTCTGATTGGCTGGGCGGATTGCAAATCACGCCCCGTAAAACTCCCAAAAAGCTTTGTGAAGCCGCCATTTTATTTGCTCGCATTAGCATTATTAGCATTAGCATTAGCCCAGCGCACCAACGGAGAGAGACTAACTTATGGCAACACAAATAAAACATGGGAGCGGTGGAGTGATGAGGAGATGTCGGTGTTCTGGTGATTTACTCGGAAGGCCCCCCAACTCCGGGGACTTCCATCCGGGGAATTCCAGTGGCAGTATACGCCGTGAAGTTGTTTGCGGCCTGCCAGTAAACCCAAAGCAGAAGAAGAAGTGACGTCAGCGGCTTCATTTGCCTAATCCTCCCTCAGGAACTTAGACCCAATTTACACAGGAACGTTTGCGTTTACGCACCGTATGCGTTTTCAAAAAAGTCTTCCGTTCACAAGCATTAGATTCATTTAACGTGTCCGTTCACACGAGACCGCTGGAAACGCTAGAAACGCTGTAGTACATATGCCGGGCTTGTAAGTGGCGTTGGTGCCGCCACAAAAAACACCAAAAGCAGCGAAGAAGACCCCGGAGCATGGTTACCATGGTTGCCCTTCTGTTTATTCTCCACGGTGGACGGCGTGTGCTCCTGCTGTAAATCTCTCCGGTAGTCCACCAGCAGATGAAAAACACCCACCTCTCCGCCTCTTCCAAGGGACGAGGGGACCATGTGGCAGAGTTTCCGTTAAAAAAAAATTCCGCCGGTCAACATGTCCGTTAAAGTTTAAATCTTCCGGACAAAATTAGAAAAGTGCCGGTCAGAGGTCTTCTTTGTTATTTATTGAGCTTTAAAACAAATTCATAATGACTCTATATAATAATATAAGAATAATAAACGGAGCAGTGTTTCCCTTACCATTGTCTTGGAGGGGCGCAGCGACCCCCCCGTCAACAGAGCCCCGCCGACGGAGCCCCGCCAACAGAGCCCCGCGCCCCCCCTGAAATTCAAGGTGTTTAAAAAAAACGAAAAATTATTTAAAAATATTATATATATATATATATATATATATATATATATATATATATATATATATATATATATAGCACCAAATTGCAACTAATCTATATCTACTGTCACTTTTCACATTGAACATGTGGTCTTTTATTAAATAAACTAAACGCTTTCATTTTAAGTTGTGAGTTTAGTGTTTTTGACCCTAAGAAACACTGATGCATTAATCAATAATCCACAGCTCCTCTCTCTGCTCCAGAGGATTTTTAAAAAAAAGATCCCAATAACCTTCCAAACGTAAACGTTTGTTACAGCCTCATGTAAACGAAAGGGCTATGCGCAAGAGAAACTATGCGGATACAACCCGTATCCAGGGGCGGCGGGTGCTGTAGGCTAGGGAAGGCTAAGCCTTCCCAAATATTTGTGTAACTGCATCCTGGTAAAATAAAAATATAATGTCTAATGTGTGTCTTTGACATTAGCGCTGCTATGCAGCCACCTGTGCCCTGTACTACGAAGCCAGTTCAACAGACCCTGGATACGTTTGAGTTATCTTAACTAATCCTAACAAACGAGATCTCGCTAAGCGGTCCTACGGCGCTGGTTATCAACTCGGTAAATCAAGCCAAGGTTTCTCTCTCCAGCTGAGAACGCGTTCACGTGAAAGGGGCGGGATTAGCTACATTTGACCAATCACAAACAGGGACAAGTGTACTGACAGCGCAGCGTCATACTTCATTAATGAAAAGTAAACTAATATTAGACAAATATGAACTTTAAACATCCATGATGACTTAAACATATAATCCAGGATACAAGCCACATAGCTGCACCTGCAAGGAGAATACAGAACAACTCGTTAAAAAATAAACTACAGAGTGTTTGAAAGCGTACAACAGTTTTATGATACTGCCCCATCTAAAACACGAGGGGATCTGACTTTATTACATTTGAGTTGAGTGTTTCGTCAACTTAATGTGTTGCTTAAAATAATACGTCTGCATACAGTATGTGACAATGTAACTAAGTGTTGCACGGCCAGATACGGCTCGAGAAGCTGACTCAGATAAGGAAATATTGTGAGATCGATGATCTGATTGATGATGTGATGTCAGTGTGATATGAATGATAAGTGCGACACGTCGGCGTGCATTTCCTTTTTCCTGTAATATGACTTGATAGATTTAAACTCCGCACACTGAGCTCTGATCGGTCAGCAGGCGGTGCTTTCACTGAGTTGATCTCTTTTCTATAGACGCCGGAGGCGGGCAGCGTAAGATGAAAAAAAAAGTTATTTAGCCTTCCCAAACCTGAGCCTCATGCGCCGCCTATGCCCGTATCATCCTCGTGTAAACGGGGTCTTATTCTGAGTTCATGAGAACTAAAGAGTTCTGATGAACTAAGTTCTCATTACATTACATTGCATTTAGCTGACGCTTTTATCCAAAGCGACTTACAATAAGTGCGTTCGACCAACAAAATACAACTTGAAGAAAACAGAATCATATAAGTACATCAGGCTTCATAGAGCAAAAACATTTCAAGTGCTACTCAACTGGCTTTAGATAAGCCAGTCCTTTATTAGTATAAAAGTGCTTTGTTAATAGTTCTATCGCTCGAAGTGGAGTCGAAAGAGATGAGTTTTCAGTTTGTGCCGGAAGATGTGCAAGCTATCTGCCGTCCTGATGTCAATGGGGAGCTCATTCCACCATCTTGGAGCCAGGACAGCAAACCCACGTGTTTTCGCCGATGGGAACTTGGGTCCCCCTCGCAGCGAGGGCGCAGCGAGTCGTTTGGCTGATGCAGAGCGTAGTGCACGCCAAAGTACGGCAAAGTACTTGGTGGGAAAGCACCTCTTGAGAGCTCATTGTTGAAAATGATCAAGCGTATATTTGAACAGTCAGATGTCAAGCCTTTAGCGAATGACTGACAAACTGCCAGTTTTTCCAGTCACTGTTTAAACGTCTGCATAATTAGATAATAAATATAAAATAACAATAGACATACTGTGTGCAGGTCCTGAATGCGAGTTCTTAGTCCTTCCACAACATCATTTCTCTCCTCATTGCTACTGGGATACGGATACAAGTGACAGTGGTAGCTGTGGAGGGAGAAAAGTAAGTTATTAACAACTCATCACTACAACTACTACAACTAAAAACAGATAGCAGTCATTTTCTGTCAATAAAAGAGCAACAACAAAACAAAGTATTGTGGAATAGTTACCAATCACAGATCTTCTTCACTTTCTGTCCGATCTGGTCTCCCCAGTAAGAGATGAGGAACACCACACGTTTGGAAGGCTCCCCCTGCAGATAGAGAATGAAAGGAAGTGTTATAAATCAATGAAAAGGCCCCGTCGCTTCATCCATTAATAATACAATAAAAGAAATGGGCCCAGAGTAAGTGATTTTACAAAATGACCTAAATTATGTATTAATGTTGGTTTGTAACATCAAGCTGTTCATTTCCAAAACATAGGAATTAGGAGTCATTTGTATTGAAGGATCATTTTTAATTTTTTGAAAATGCAGCAGAAAAGCACAGCACTACTTGATTTTTTGGAAAACAACTGGCATTTTTTTTAAATCTTAATGTCAGAAATCCTCTTTGCTCACCAGTAACTCATGCTTATATTGCTTGTAAATGTCCTGACATTCCAACAGTGATCAGTTGCAGCCCTGCATGACTGCCTTCTAGTCAAGCAGAGGAAATGGATAAGTGGATTAAGCTGTCTCTCTTTGTGAACAGACAAGATCACAGCACTCACTCTGAACAGCAGATTTATGCAACGTTATCTTCAATTGTGTCCTATTACAGTTTTTAACAAATTGCTTTTGGCCAGAATGGCAGGATTTTTATTTTTACATCTGGAATTACAAAATATTTTTTTTATCATGCTAAATTGCTGTCATATCAAAATGATTGAAATGTTAACAATACAAACTGCATTGGAATATTTTTTAATGTAATATATTGTACAAAAGTAAATGATGGCACAAAAGATTTATGTGCATCAGCTTAAGAATTGTTTTAAAATGCACAATAATGTTGCTCTTGACTAAAAAAATATAATGAAGAACAGAATTGATGTCCCCCAAAAGTCCTTTTCGTTTGCAGACATAGAAGTTAAGATCCCATCTGTTTCTTAGATGAGGCCCAATGTGTGTACATTAAATATGTTTGTTATCTTGATTCAAATTAAGCTCCCTGCCTCTGAGGAACAGAGAACATATGCATGTCATGCACATATTTCTTCAGCCTCCCTTGCTGATATGTTCATCTGACACTGCAATAGGGAGAAGACATAACAAAAGTCATTCAACTTTAGCCCAAATCAAAGCCAATGTTAGCTTTGAGGAACCTACTGTGTCAGGGTCTTCCAGATACTCCTCGACCTCTGCGTAGCTGAGGATGGTGTAGCCTTTACACACTCTCCAAAGCATTCGCTCAAACGCCTGGATCTTTGTCCTCTGAATAAGCCCCGAAATGAACCTGCGAGAGAACGAGCAAAACATTCACAAACCAACCTTTTGCTGAAAACATCAAGAATTATTTGATGACACAATAACATAAAGTATAAACAAAACATCTTAAACATTTGATATACTGGACAAATACAAAATAAATCAACAAAGAGAAAACATTTTATATGAAATAAGATAATATTGTTTTTACTTTTGCAGGTTAAACTATTAATGACACAGACGAAACTGCTCAAGGGCGCAGCATTGCCGTCTCACTTATCAGCACAGGCAGCAGAACTAATCGCACTAACAGAGACATGCAAACTGGGAAAAGGGAAGACAGTTAACATTTATACAGACAGCAACTATGCTTATTCATGTATACATGTGTTTGCACAACAATGGAAAAATAGGGGGATGGTAACATCCACAAACAAACCTATTACACATAAAGATTTGATCCCATCACTTTTGGATGCAGTACAACTCCCTAAGAGAGTGGCTATCTGTAAGTGTGCAGCACACACTACAGGGACGGACCCAATGTCCACAGGGAACCGAAAGGCAGATGAAGAGGCTAAGAAAGCAGCGCAAAGACAGTGACAGGACAATGACCAATATATTTCTGAAAATATGGAACACATTGATCATGATTCATGACATCCTAAAAGACATGCAAGCGAATGCACCTGACAAAGAAAAGATATACTGGAAGAAGAAGTTGTGTACACAGAATAAAGAGGGGTTGTGGGAAAGTACAGAAGGCAAATTTGTATGACCAAAAAGCTTATTTCGGTATGCAGCTATATTGAGCCGTGGGTTGGACCGTGCACGGCTCAACAGTGGGGATGGTGGAAGTAATACAGAAGATATTCACAGCCTATGGCTTTACAAACTACTCTAAAATAAAATGTGTTTAGCATGTTCTGTGTGTGCACAGTATAACCCTCAGGGACAGTTCAAACCAAAGAGAGGTAAAATACCGGAGCCAGTATCCGTTTCAGCACATTTGCATGGACTTTATTGACAGTAACGGGTCTGAGTGATAGAAACTGACGATGTACAGAGAAAGAATTAGGCCATGGCATCCATTCGGATTACATTAAAACATGTGCCTATACAATCTACCTACCTCAGCCGTTTGGGTACTTTTGTATATGAATTTTTTATCTTTTATAATCATTTGTATTTTTCCAAGTTCTATGTTATTCAGTAGTATAAACAGGAGGGATATGTTGGAGAAATACTGTTTTCTCCACTCTTTGGGTTGTTTTAATGCACTGATATCATGTGTGGCTCTGAACTGTGTATGACCTCTTCTTGTGATAGGAGGAGGCAGGGCATTTCAGGTTGTTGATATTTATGAGAAGACAGACTTGCTGTCTCCTAAACATCTCATTTCTATGAAGTGTGAAGGAAGTACGTGACTCTTTCCAGAAGACGTCACAGATGACCCATCGCAGATGACCCGACTTTCCGACACCCGCGGCTGATATTAGCGCCACCTCATGTGTTGTTCTGCCGTGGTGGATAAAAAACCGTTGGGTGTAGGCTCGGGCATGATGCCTGATAAGAAGCCGGTTTGTGCCGACCTGGATGCGGGTTCTGGTTTTGAGCCGTTCATCACTGAAGCGGTAGTATCAGTAGTCGGTAGTGACAAATATGTGCCGATTAAGGTGTTGCGTGATACAGCGGCTAGATACTCATTCATTGTTGAGTCAGTGTTGCCTTTTTCGTCAGAGACAGAAACGGGGGATTTTGTGCTGATGAGGGGCATGGAGATGGGCTTGATCCCTGTGCCACGGCATACAATAGTGCTGGATTGCGAACTGGTGCGGGGAGTTGTGTCTATCGGTGTGCGTCCCGCGTTGCCACTTGATGGGATACATATGATTTTGGGCAACGATCTCGCTGGTAGTGCTGTGTGGGCTGGTGTGCCACCGCCTGTGGTGGTTTCCAGGCCGGTGGCATCTGGGGAGCCAGATGAGAGTGGTTTGCAGTTTCCAAGTGTGTTTCCAGTTTGTGCGGTGACACGGGCACAGAGCCGTAAAATGTCTGCTGACCCACATGTTTCGGAGTGTAGCAAAAGTAATGTGGTACATGTGGTCTCACTGCCTGATCTCCCTTCGTCGGTGTCAAAGGAGGACTGGGTCAGGAGTCAGAGGGACGATTCATCTCTTTCTGCTCTGTGGACTGAAGTGTTGCCGGCAGAGAAGGTCAGAGACATAGCCCAGGGTTACTTTGTTCAGGGGGACTTGCTGGTGCGTAAGTGGGTGCCCTGTGTTGGTGATGCTGTGGGGGAGGCAATTTTTCAGGTGGTGGTGCCGAGTAGCTTTCGTGATGTGATATTGCAAACTGCGCATGATAGTGGGGGACATTTGGGGATAAAAAAAACCTATGACCGTGTCCTACGCTATTTTTTCTGGCCTCGGTTAAAGCGCGATGTTGCAAGTTATATTAAAGCATGCCACATATGTCAGTTCACTGGTAAACCAAGTCAGGTGGTGAAGCCTGCACCCCTCAGTCCCATTCCAGCCCTTGGTCAACCTTTTGAGCATTTGATCATAGATTGTGTGGGGCCGTTGCCTCCATCTAAGTCCGGTTGTGCGTACATGCTTACTATAATGTGCCAGACTACAAGGTATCCTGCAGCGTTTCCCTTGCGCTCCATTTCAGTGAAGCCAGTAGTTAGGGCTTTAACCCAGTTCATCTCCACATTTGGGATCCCACGTGTGATTCAAAGCGACCAGGGTACCAACTTTACTTCCCATATGTTCAAACAGATTCTACAGCAGCTGGGGGTCAGGCATAACCGTGCGTCGGCTTACCATGCCCAAAGCCAGGGGGCGCTAGAGCGGTTTCATCAAACATTGAAGTCCATGCTGCGTGCTTATTGTATGGAAATGGGGAAGGACTGGGAGGAGGGACTTCCATGGCTCATGTTGGCGTCCAGGGAAGTCGTTCAGGAAAGTACAGGGTTCAGCCCTAATGATTTGGTCTTTGGGCATAAGGTGCGTGGGGTGTTATCTGTTCTCCAGGATGGTTTGGTTGAGGGTGAGCCACCTAAAAATGTAGTGGACTATATACAGGGCTTTCGTCATCGCCTGTATGTAGCGGTGGAAATGGCAAGGAAAAATTTAGCTGGTGCTCAGGCTAATATGAAGAGACTCTATGACCGTAAAGCCAAGTATCGTGAATTCAGCCCAGGGGATCAGGTGTGGTTGATCCATTCAAAGCCAAGTTTGCCGGCCCGTACACTGTTGAGAGTAAAGTGTCAGATCAAAATTACTTGATTGCTACTCCAAATCGGAGGAAGTTGTCTCAACTGTGTCACGTCAACCTCCTGAAACCGTACTATGTTCGTGATACCTTTGGGGATAGCTTCATGGTTAAAAAGTTGGGTGTGGGCCCCATAATGATGGTTGATTCTGTGCTTTCAGATCGAGGGTTGGCTGAGGAGTGTGATGTTAAGGCACCAGATGAACCTGTTATGTCTGGTAGGCTGAGGAATTCGGAGTCGTTATGCCAATTGGATCGCTTGTTGAGTCACTTACCGGCAGCACAGAGAGATGAATTGGCGGCTTTAATCGGGAAGTTTGTGGTACTGTTCGGCGATACGCCATCGCGCACAACTCTCGTGGAGCATGATAACGACGTGGGGGACAGTCCTCCAATTAAGCAGCGATTTTACCATTGTCCTGCAGATAAGCGTAGGGTGCTGGAGGCTGAGGTCCAGTACATGAAGGACAACGTTGTGGCGGATGCTCTCTCTCGTGCCCCGGTGGGGTAGGGAGTTTCTCTGGCTCTGGATATTTCGTGTTGTTTCGGGGATCCCTTTGGGGCCTCCGTCTTAAGGGGGGGGCTGTGATGCCCCTGTGGGTTCATCAGTGGAGAGAGTGTGGCTGTCCTGTCTTGGCTGCATTGATTGCAGTGATTGCATTAACTCAGGGCACCTGGGTCTGGTGCTCTGCAGCTATTTTAAAGCCTCTCTGCTCCTGTCTGCTCTCGCGCTGTTTTTCCTGCAGGCACCCGGCTCTGATGAGTATAACCAATGTGTTGAATTGACCAGTGTTGTGCAAATAAACACCTTTACCTACCCGTTGACATGTTGTGTCTCCTTTTTGTTGTGGCCTTTTGAGCCAGTTCGCAACAAAGACTTTGTTGTTATCTCCTGTGTTTTGGACTATATTATAAGCCTGATGTTTTTTGCTGTTCCTTTGAGCAACATACCCCATGAGTTAAACCATATCCTTTGTATGTGATTTAACTCTGCTCCTTCTTGCAAGAATAAATTAGTTACCTGATCATTGATTCTCAACCTGGTGTCGAGTGATATTTTTTCTAACACTTGCCTAAACATTTAAACTCCAAAGCTCAGAGATTTACAGGGATGAGGGTAACATGTGCACTTCTTCACCAACACCTATAACGGGGGTTTTTGGGCTGCAGAGATCGTTCCTCACCCCAATTTGGCTCCAAGTCTTTGCATGCTGCTGTATTCCAGCATTGTGTCTTTCTCAAGGAAGGGAAACTCCTCATACTGAGCTTGTAGGGGTTCTCGCTAAAGGTAAAGAAAAAAGGGTTTAAGAAAAAAAGTCTAAATCACAATTTAGATGTATGAGGCACGTTACAGAATGACACACTAACCTCCACTGATCTCTGCACAAAAGTGCGTGTGATTCGCAGCATGTGTGTGTACTCTGTCAGCTCCAGAAGGTTCCTCTGAAGCTTGTCCTTATTCCTGGTGACTTCACCCAACTCCACTTCCAATCTCTGCAGCTGCTCCTGTGAACACACACACACCAAGTGAACATGGTCATTACAGGGAATAATAATGATGCTACATTTTTGGAAATGTACACAGACGTTAGCAGAACAACGTAATAATAATTAAATTACTCAACTATGTTAAATTATTATTATTTACATAATTGATACGTAAACATGAAACTGACCATTATAGACATGATGTGCTTGGGTAAAGGAGCTACTGGGTTCACGTCTCTTTCTGGGAGTGAAATGTCGGCTTTCTTGACTTCCCTCAGAAGGTACCCTGTTAAAAAATAGATAGCCAACTTTGTAAGACACACAACATTTGTTTCATTATGTTTTGTTTCAGCGCTTCCAAACACCATGAACATCCTTTTGATAACAATGCATTTGAAGCCAAGTCCAACAGAGAGGTACTCTCTTCTCCTAATCTAATAATAAAGGGATTCGTTAATCAAGGACAGCATTTCATTCAACTTAATCTACAACCAGCTGACATTTCTCATGACTGGAGGGTCATTGGCTCTCAATTGAATTCAGTGAAACCGTCTTCTGTGGCTTCTTGTACTCCTGCTTCACTTTTGCCATCTCAGAACAGCTTTATCGGAAACCTTTCTGGGGCAAAATCCTTTGATTTCATGCCCAAAACTACAACTTAATGAATAGACTTTGCCTTACTGGAAAACTGTAAAGATCAATGTATCCTTACCAAGGATCCTCTCCATCTCTTCACATTTCTTTATCTCATTGACGTGTTTCCGCTGGAATGTGGTAACACTGGGATTGAGCTGAAAAGGTGTAGGAGACATATACAGTCAAAAGTCATCATTGATTCAATTAAAGTCAAACACATTTTTTCAGTACAAACCAACATAAAATGAACATACAGTTACCACCTGTACGGTCCTTTTTACAGCAGCACTTTAAAACACCTCTGATCTACATGGTATCTATGACTTGCATGCATTCAGTGGCAACGTTTACAACAGGCCATGTAAAGTAACTAACTGCAATAAGTACTGTACTTAAGTACAATTTGGAGGGACGTTAACTTTACTTAAGTATTTCAATGTGTTTCTACTTTGTACTTCTACCCCACTACAATTCAAAAGTTAATAGTGTACTTTTACTCCACTACATGTATTTGATACATTTAGTTACTTCATGTTGTGAAATATAATCAACACTTAAATCAGACTTTAGTTACACCTAGAGTACATTCACAGTCAAACCTGCAGTATATACACAGTCATTAAAACCAGCTGCACCTTTACCAGCTTTGATAAACACATTATTTCATCAATAATTATTATCAAAACATATATTTTTCAGAAGAATTGGCCAATCTGCATAATGAGTACTTTTACTTTTGGTACTTTAAGTATATTTGGATGCGAACACTTGTGTACTTCTACCTGAGTAACATTTTGAATGCAGGACTTTTACTTGTAACAGAGTATGACTACACTGGTACTTCTACTTTTACTCAAGTACAATATCTGAGTTCTTCTTCCACTACTGACATTAACACATGCAAAGTTGTGTGCATTATATATTTCATTTTAACATATGCTAAATATATATTTAATAGATGTTCTGTGATTGATAGTTAGACATCAGAGACCATCAGAACTTAGCAGGACTACACGTCTAGTATTACAGAGATACATCTTGGTCAATTAACTGTTAACAGAGTATTTCCTACACTGTGGTACTTCTACTTGTACTTAAGTACAATATCTGAGTACTTCTTCCACCTCTGATGATCTATAGGCTATCTATGACTTGCATGCATTCAGTGGCAAAGTCTGCTTTGGTAAAACCCGCCATAGTCGCTTCGACCAACAAACAGGTAAGACATTTGTCAAGTCAGGAAGAACTTTTAAAGTGAGTCATGACTTTGTTTCAGAAGATTATAACGGGTCTTTTCGGTACTTACGTCTCTAAACTCCACAAGCCCAAGTTCTCCAAGTTCACTGATGCAGTCGTATGCGGACCCGGACTGCAGGAACAGCTGGGCCAGACACATCTCTTCCCCCCGGAGCAGGGAGCACATTTTGACAGTCTGCTTGGTTGTTTACCTGCTAAACCGAGGAGCTAATACAAGCTAACAACTGCAGTTTCCGGCAATACAAGCACGTCAAGGGCGATGAGTGATGTCCTTCTTCGTGGTGATCATATTCTGGTGATGATACAGTATATGAATTGCATGACGCTGACTTTAGAGAGCTACAGCCGATGCTGTTCCTGTTAGCTAATGGGCTAGCCGGCTATTACTGTGTTGTTAATACCCGGATACAAAACTTGTTCCGCCGAAGTGGAAGCAGAAATGATGAGGCGCCCGGTATTACCACCAATGGCTTAGCTCATCCACACTTCTAATCACGACTCCTCTCATCGTTTCTGAAGTTTTCAGCAGACGTCCGCTTCTTATCTTTATAGTACTCCACGTCACTTTTCTCGACACTGTTGAATATGAACTTCCACAGCAGTGAACGTACCTTTGACCAATCAGCACCGCCCCCTGGAGTCTGCGCACTGCGCCCTCAGCGTTTGAGCCAGCCCTGCTGAAGGCAAACATTGACTCAAGTAATTTACTTAAGTACAATTCGAAGGCCCTATACTCTACTTGAGTAGGTCAACGTTTCGCTTCTTTGTGCTTCAACCACACTACAATTCAGACATTTTATCAATATTTAAATCAGACTTTAGTTACACCTGGAGTAAATTCACAAGCTACCCTGCAGTATACAAAGTCATTCAAACTAGCTGCACCTTTACCAGCTTTGAGAAACGCATTCTTGCATCAATAATTATAATAAAAACAAATGATATATTATTCTGAAATGGGAAAATCTACAGAATGAATACTTTTACTTTTGGTACTTTAAGTATATTTTGATGCTAATACTTTTGTACTTTTACTTAAGTAAGATTTTGACTTCGTAACATTGAACACAATCTTCTACTACCGACATAGCAATGTGAATGATGATGAATGATTGTGAATGATAACCTCTTGAGGTAACATATAAATCGTGAATAAACAATGACAGAACTGATTCCTGACCCACTAGATAAGAGAAATGTACAAATGTAATTGTAACAGAGGAGTGCACAAAAGGGTAGCCCACTTTTCAAAAACTTTATATAAGATACTGTCAACAAAATAATATTAAAAGGAACAAGCAGTACAAAAATATTTGTATTACAAATGAGTGCACCAAAACAATTATTTACATTCCCACAAACATATCTAAAACATGTAAAACAATATCATTATAAACTATGTATAATGTTCAAAGATCTTTGTTTCTTCCTCTACATGTTCTCAGCATTTCTTAAGAGTCTTAGAGGGCGGCACTATTTCCATGCTTGTCTGATTTGTCTCCATGGAGTCCCGAGTATCGAAGCAGTGATAAAGAAGAAAACCAAAATAAGGCCCTTTGCCAGAGACTGGGAATACGGCTCACCTGGGGACGATAAAGGTAAAGTAAGTCAGCAATGGTACTGTCAGGGTCAGGACTTAGGCAGTGTTTCTCGCATCAATGTTCCAATTTCCTGAAATATCAACTACGGTACAAAATAAAAACACAGGATAGATTATCTAGAATTCAATACATTCTCACCTGTGTAATACTTGGTGATGGGGAAGGCGAGCTCAGGCCAACACACATCATTCCGGTTACAGTCATACTCAGTGAAGTTTATCTGAAATCTGGGGAAAAAATAGAAAACATTACAGTCTGGGTTTGAATCAGTGAGGCGGCTTATACACAGTATACAGAGGGTCGTAACTTTGTCTCAAGTTACGACCCTCATTACCTCAGGGCAGTCTTGCCTGGTTTTCGGTGGTCCTGTGTTGACAAGAATGTCAGTAAAGGAGACTGAGGAGGTGATGGGGAACAACTGAGTCTCCGTGGGGTCCACACATGGAGAAACATCCCCCCCTCCACAATCCAGTGTCCAGGGGGACATGCTGTAGCTAAGATGACCAAAAGACCCTCCATGATTCACAATGATTTAGAATTTGCAATGAGAATACAATTTAAAGTGTATGTTTCAATGAATATACACCAGATACACACCTGACTTGCAGAGCGCAGATATCCCTCTGAGGTACGCCTCCTACCATGCCTGTGATGAGACTCCAAACATGGATATGCTGGTGGGATGGAACCCCATAGCATGAATTTGTGCTGTCTTCCATAGTTGTGCTAGAGTTTTGTGTCAAGACTGGAATGTATAAAACATTTAGTTAAAAAAAAATACTGTAAATCAAACAGTTAATTTTGCTTTAATAAAAGTATAGCGAAAAGGTTGCATGAATCGTTTCTTTGCACAATCTACTCACAGCTTATGTTCACCCAGTCTGTCGTAGTGAAAGGATCGGGGTTTCCACTCTTTGCAACATGTGTGGCTGTCATCAGATTATTCTGGAGAGAGGTTACAGTCTCTCTATGGGAAAAATACATTCAAATGTAATTCAGTAGAAATACACATTGATATAGATTAAACATGAACTCATGCTGATTTACCTCAGGAGATCACACTGAGTCAGATTGTGTCTGCTGACAGGGAGTAGACATCCTGATGTGGAATTCTCTCCAAACAGAATTGGTTTCATCTCAGCAGAGACACAGAGCCCATCACTCACTGCAAGGTAGATTCAAACATGAGGTTTCCTTTATCCACCTTATTTTGATTGAATTACACATAAATCATAATTATGACACATTCAGTGATCCAGTAACCAACAAGAATGGGTTTTACCTGGTTTCCAAAGACTGATTGACACCCTCTGTACTAAGCCCGTATTGTTGTCCAAAGTGTCCACAATTCCAGCGATAACAGGCCTTCCCACCTGATAACCTGGCATTTGAAGTGTTGGTTACCCATTGAAACATGTAGACTCACTTCCACAACCATTCTCAGGACAAAGTAAATGATCTTGTTCTCACCTGGGTTCCCTGAGTTGGTTTCACCCATTAATTCTCCATTTAAAAACACGGCAGAATACCTTGTAGTTAACGCCACTGTTTGGGGACAGAAAAGCAGAAATGAGTCCAGATTACATTAAACACATCTATCAACTAAGGCTGATCATGGACAAGTCTTAACACTTACCACTACTATTGAATGTGATGGTGCCAACAGTCTGAGTCACTGTGATACTTGTGATGTCATTTCCTTCCCAGTACAATTTGTAATCCAGCGCCAAGGTCACGTTCTCACATACCAGCCCCTCATCTTCAGAGGAATATCAAGTTTCAACATTACGCTTAATTGTCCATTTTTGTTGTTTTGGTAAGAATATGTTTTCATTTAATTACCTGAAGGGGCATTAGTGCTTGAAATAAACTGACTCAAGTCAAAGGCAACTTCGTCAATTACGTCTACTAAAACATCACCTGAAACACATGAAGAAACAACATGGAAGAAATTATTAAAAAAGAGCTTCAGAGAGTATAAAAACATTGCTACATTATGTTTAGCGGGTAAAACACACCTCCTGGCCCATTCTTTACTTTAATCCTCAAATCTGTTGGTAGAGTCCGTAAGGGGGAACCAGTTGGACAGGAACGTAGAAGAGTTACACAATTCACTTGAAAATTCTTCAGAAATGCTACAGGCGCATTGTTTACACACTGCCCGAGCAACTTCTGTAAAACAGAAATATAAAATGAATTAGAATAATTCAGAAAAAAATGATGTAATAACAATATACACACCACTAACCTGAGGAATAGTGAAGTACTGGTCATTTAATGTGAGAATGGGACTTCCTTGAATGTAAACATTAACTGGCACTGGAGCAGGCGAAACAGGGCTTTGGAAGGATGGGCCCGGTTCAGGAGTGCTAGAAAGGGGCAAAAGAACTATAATTGAAATATGACACAAAAACATATACTTTCATTGATATAATCAACACATATATTGAATGATTCCTCACATTGTGTATCCCTGGTAAAAGAGCCCGAGGTAAGGGTTGTTTTCAGGTGGAGAATTGACACATAAAAATGGAAACCAATCTGGGGAGTTTTTCAAGGATTGCACAGAGCACTGATAATCTGAAGCAGGAGAGACCTGTCCTCCAAAGGGCCCTGGGAGGCAGTGGGACACAAATAGCTTCAGATCTTCAGAGGAACAGTCCTGTGTGAGTGGAAGACAAATAAGTCATTCATGATTAATACAAAAATAAACATATTTGTTTTGTGCACTGTTCTCTTGTTAAAAGATAGTAATGTTTTGAGAGATGTAAATACCGTGTCACAGCAGCAGCGCACATCACATGCTCCAAAAGTGAGGTCACAGGGGCAAGAGCCCAGTGGCTGGTACACTTGGTTTGGAATGACTGTTTTATTTTCTAAATGGATATGAGATTTATATTTATTAGAAATGTCGAATTCACACTGGCAACATTCTCTACTACAAAATAAGACAACATGTACATGGTGTGGATAGGAGCGGTAAAATATATTAAATAAATAAAAAATATTGGATAAAAGAGGATCAGAGAGAGAATATTAAGTTGAAACCTAAACGACTCTCTGAAACTGTGAATTATATTTATATATCAGGATAAATATGGAGACATCCTTAGCATGTAGGCTCATTATGATGGGCACAGTTTTAATTACCAGATCCAGCATTAGCAGGAAGCAACAAGGCGAATATCCTGGCCTGGATCAGCAGCGATGCCTGAGGAGTGCCACCCACACAGACAGACACCTGAAGGGTCTCCAGGACACACAGAGGCTTTGGACAGCAGTTTGTATCTGATTCATTCTCACCACACAGACGCAGACTTTTATCCAGATTTAGTTGAACCCGAACTGCAGTCTGGGGAGCGAATTGAAACAAACATAAGACACATTAAATAAACTGGTGTAAGACAATAAAATAAGCTCTATTAAATTAATTGTGGGATGTTTTTATTTAAATAAACCCTATCTAACAGCATATAACTCAAACATAATTTGATTTTATTAAGTCAACTGTACTCTTCTTACCTTCCCCACCTGCTCCCTCGTGAGCACCCACTGTGTTACTTCAGCTACACATGATGGAGGGCCAATGCTTCCTGTAACAGAAAACACATCACAGCTCTTTTATGTGCCACTAAACCGGAGAATTATATATAATGGAAACTGGCTATTTTCAAACACCACTCAAGTAAATACAAATCAAAAAATGTTTGCTAGAAAACACGTCCCATACAAGAAAACGCACTGACCTGTCGTATTAGATGGAGATACTGTCCTCAGATTCAGAGAGATGTCAGACACGTTTCCGAGCAGAAGTGCAGTGACCGTGGGTCCAGTTGCAGTGAGATATGATGGCTTGAAATCTGTTAAACAAACGGCAGTGGCGTTAAGTAATGAAGTACATTTACTCAAGTACTGTACTTAATTACAATTTTGACGTTCTTGTACTTTACTTGGGTATTTCCATGTTATGCTACTTTGTACTTCTACTCGTCTACATTTCAGATGTAAATAGTGTAATTTTACTCCACAAGCTTTATGTAGTATCTTTGGTGACTTTGCAGATAGAGATAAATAATAAACAGTAGGATCAACACTTGAAAACATACTTCAGATATAACTGGATTAACTCAGAACTTTTAAATTAGCTCAACCTTTATCAGCTTGATAAACAGTTAAATGCATCAATAATTATAACCAAAATATATATTATATATATGTGCCAATTTGCATAATGAGTACTTTTACTGTTGGTACTTTAAGAATATTTAGATGCCATTACTTTACTTTCACTTGAGTAACATTTTGAATACAGGACTTGTAACACTACACTTTGGTATTTCTACTTTTACTTTAGTACAATATCTTAGTGTATATTTCCACCCTTGCATAACGCCGATATATCTCGTACCTGCTTTACGTATTAGTTTCATAACAATTATTGAATTAGTTATTAAACTGCAACACGTTCAACGTTACCACGGTTGTTTTGTTGTTAGCTCTTTGCTAGTTAGCTTAGCTTTAGTAGCTGTTTTACTGTAAAGCTGTTTGCATTGAAACTTACCAACAATGTTTTGAGGTTGCGCCAAGGAAATGAACAGTATAAAATATGTGGCCTGGCATGAAATAGATAAACGGGAGAAGCATAAATCAAACACGTTAGCCATTTGGTTCACTTCAGATTATAAAGCAGACATATTTGTAAATGGTTAGTGATGTCATGGCAACGCAAATGTTGAACCAATCACATCCTAGATATTCTTCTTCTGGAGAAACAGGACACACAAAACGACCTGAATATACAACAGCGCCCCCATCTTACCCGGAGCAGCACATACATGCAACTACAGTCTGAATACATGTATTTATTTATTTCCATATTTACTAATTTTGTCTTGTGTTTATTTATTCCTGTATTTATTTACACGTGTATTTATTTCAGTTTTTTCCCCCCCATGTATTTATTCTTGGATATTTGTATTCCTGTATTTATGCATTTATTTATTCTGGTATATTTGCATTCCTGTATTTATTCCTGTATGTATTTACTCATGTCATGTTCTGTCCTCCATAGGCCTACTTGTGTGCTCGTTGTGTGCATAAAGGTACAATTTAACTCAAAATCACATCAAGACATCATACATTGTACAAGCAAGGTGCAACAAGCAGATACATTGTGTTTATATCAGACAGTCAACAAAATATACAACAGCCAAATGTTATTTTCAGACAAATCTTCAGACCTTTGAGCACAACATAATCCAAAAACCACTGACAAAAACGTTTATTATGTATCACTGGAAAAGTCTTAATTAATCAATGCTAATTCTACTTTTTCTTCTTTTGGAAAAATGTAAATGGCACACATTTTTCACGAGCCAAATAACACAGATCCCATAGTATTCCCCATCATCTAATTCAATACTTAAAAATCAAACGTGTTGTCTCTTTAATATTGTGTCTATTATAACGTTATTTACATTTTGGTGTTATGATATTTTGCCCAAAAAACTGTGATCCTGCCTCCAGGGGGCAGCACGTGGCTGTAATTACACAATGACTACTCTAATACATGTAGAATAAGAGTTATGCCACGTGACCACCGTGACAGCGTGCTTCACGTTTGACGTCATCTAAAGCCTGTACAGTGGAGTTATTAAAACAATGTTATCGTGTGAAGACCTAATAACAAATCTGCAAGGCTGTGTGGTCACCGAGGATCAAGCACCTGAACATGTCAACCAAACACTCAGGCTTTTCAGTGAAAAACTCTCTGAATCCTCCAGGTCGGTAACCATACCCTCAGCATGTTTGAGAACTTGTCTCATTTCTATAAGCTGTCATAATGACTGAATGGTTTTGCACGAACAGGAGTAGTGTGAAAAGATGTAAGGAGCGATGTTTAGAGGAGGCTCTCCAGCTGCTGAGACGCATTTCCGAGGATCAGCTTGGTGTTTTGGAGGAGTCTCATATCCTGCTCCTGGTGAGACTTCTCATCTCCATGCAGCTGAAGATGGTCAACATCTCCACAGCCTGTCGTAAAGTAGACCAGGTGAGCCCCACATTATGTCCGTACTGCACTGTACACACAATATTTAAAGACAAAATGTCATCTCATTGAAACCTTATATGTGCTCGACAGATGTTGCAACATTTGGCAAAGGTGGACCACCAGTTGGTTTTTAGAGAAACCCATCACTGTTTGCTCTCTATAGTCCATAATGAACAGGTACAGACAAGAGCTGTCACTTCACTTATATGTATTGTCATGTATTTGCTGCAAGGCACTGCAAATAACCTTCAACCCATCCCCTTTTAGGTACTGTCTTTTGAGGATCTGCAGAAAGGTAAGTGCAGAGAAGGCTAAAGATAATGTGTTATTACAATGTCACTAGTTTCACATGTACGTTTCCATGAACATATTGTTGTTCTCGTCTTTTTTCAGCCTGTATGTTCCTGGAAGACAGCACTATTGGTCGTGATATTTGGCGAGAGTCATTCCTGGTTCTGCTGAACAAAGTGTCTGAGTTTTTCTCCTTTGCATTGCAACAAGACTCGCTGAGAGATGGACCTCTGTGTTACATTGCTGTCAAGGTGCATAATGTATTAGTCTGTTGCATTCATCACAGACTTGTTGTGTGATCTGTTTAACTTACCTGAGAGCTGTGGTCTCGGCAGATGTGTTTGCAAGTGTTCCAGCTGTTGTCCAGTCAAGTGGCTCCTCTGGTGTGGGACGGGGAGCATGGGGACCCGACAGTGAGGAAGATCCTGCAGGCTCTTATGGACATAATACTTGGACAGGTATCTCATTAATCCATCAGTTCAGTAGTCAGATACTTCTTCAGTTGACACTTTGTTGAATCAGAATCAAGTTTATTGCCAGGTACGTTTACACATACAAGGAATTTGCTTTGGTATCTGGTGGTGCGGACATAAACAATCTAAACAAATAAATTGCAAAGTAGCTAAAAAAAGATTATTTAATAAAAAAATAAGTATTTTTAAGAAACAATTTAGCATTAATAAAGCTCCCTAAAGACAAGTAATTACACCACATGTACATGTAACTATACAAATAACCTTAAAAGCTAAAAAACAAAAACACTTAGGATATTAAGTAATATATGCTAAACTACAGTGTATTATATTTTAAAGTGGAGTGCTGTGCAGATATGTGTGTGCAAAAAGCAGTCAGAGAGTTGAGCATGAACATGGCTCACAGTATTATAAAAGACAAAAAAGAACAAGATGTTGTTCACATGATGTGCATCAATGTAATGCATAATTACACTATCAGTCATTGTGTCCTTGTTTGCAGTGCTGCAACAGGGACACTCGTCTTTTGGCAGGAACTGCTGTGGCCATGCTGATCAACACGGCTTCAGAGAGGCGCTGTGGAGAGGCTGCTGCCTGGAGTCTGCTGCAGGTCTCTCACTCAGGTAGGTCACTCCCAAAACTGCTGGACAAATGGACCTGTTAGAGCAACTCTTAGTTATTTTGTAAAAAAAAAGGCCAAATATTGTCACCTAATCGTGACCTCGGTAGTCGAGATTATAAAAGACTACATTTCCCATGGAGCCAGCCTCTTAAGAGACAGAGAGGTGTGCAACCTGTGTGGAAGACTCCGTCGAAACACAGTTTTTAACCGTTACGTTTTATTATCCTACACAAAGTTAAGTTGTTTATTATTTGAATTGAGTTGATTCAATTGAAGGCCAAGAGATTCATGGCATTACAGCTGTTCTCCTGTCTCTCTCAGAGCCCTGGCTGCTGACGGTCGGTGCTCTGCAGGTTCAGTGCTGCCCTGCAGGGAGCGACGGAGTGGACCGACTGGCTGTGAGCAGAGGCCTCCTGACCTGCTGTCGACCTCACATCTTGCTCAGTTCACACGTGGATTTCACAGAAGTAAATCTAGCTACATGTTTCCCTTTTTATTGTGCTTGTTTTCATTTCCAAATCCCTAATTTTCTCTCTTTTCAGATGTGTTTACTGCAGAAAGAGTTGTTTCCTCTGGTCTATGCGCTGTGTGAGGAGAAGCTGGACTGTCACTACTTTGCTTTTGAAGGTGAGTGATATCCACTTTGTTTATATTTATGTCCTCGAATGGCCATACCATCTGTTCTAATATGACATGTTGTTGCAGCATTAACACTGTGGCTGAAGAGAGTTAAAGAATGTCTTGCTGATATCTGGAAGATGACGGGTGCTCGCCTTCTGCCTGACAACAGCAAGCTGCAGCAAGAGCTCATTCACATTATCTGGACCAATGCAGAGAGTCCTGTGAGTCAAAATAACATCTTTCTATTATTGCAGGTTAAAATCCTGAAAGAAACATCCAAGTAAAATGGCATTATTTGACTTTGTAAACCAAATGGACAGCCAATAATGCATAAAATACTGTACTATAAAATATGCAAGTTAATAAAAACTGCTACAGTGCCATTTTAGTCCACATACTCAGAGCCATGTCACATTCTGGACCACCTGACTTATTTATTTCCATTGTTGTTATTATTTTATATTGCACACATTTGTATGTAATTAACACTTACGGCATTTGTCACATGGGTGTGGTTTATTTGTATTTAGTCCCTCTGTTGTTTGACATTAGTTTGTATGACACAGATGGTGAGATGGCTCGGATATTTTCAGTTGACCGTTTGGTCCTCTTTAAGTTATTGTTTGTTTATTTCAGTCATTAAACTTAATTCAACTATAACTCCACTACAGGACTCTTTTAATTGAAACGGATCAAAGTGATGAGCCTACCTTAACAACTGTTCATTGGGAGTTTTGTCGCTACAGTAATATTAATCATGTCTGTCTGTCTGACTGTTCGTTGGCAGGTGGAAGGTGTTTCAGATTTTGTGCGCAGTGCCTTTTGTCTTCTGCTGGACCTCTATGAGATGGACTGTCAGCAGTATGGTGACACAAAGAAGACTCTTTATTTGACCCTCCTTCAGCGGATAATCAAACTACCCTGGGAATCCAAAGCCAAATATCATCGCCTTTGTGCCCTGCTGCCATTTCTGGGGACTGACATGGTAATGGTGACAGCTGATTATTACAGTGTTAATAACGTAGTTACTGGTGCTCATGAAGGCTTTAACATTTCTCTAATTCATCAGGTGCTGGATCAATACGCTGAAATACCAAATCATCTCCTGAAGTGCTTGTCGACCAATCACCTGTCACCGTGTGGATCGGAGCTTTACAAGTGTCTGATCCAGCAGCAGAGGCGGGAGCTGTGTGACGGCTCAGCGAAGTCCACCTCACACATCGAGCTGGATCTGGCCAATCAGTGGGCGAGGCGCTGGCGGCCCGTCCTCCATGAGGCTCTGATGTCCCATGTGACTCTTCTACAGAACCACAGCTCCACACAGTTATTACCCTTCACCTTTCAAGTCTTCCCCTCTGCTGTGGATCCTTTGCTGGACTCTCTGGACCCATGTGACCCCGGCCACCTCCACGCCTGGGCCTGCATCGTGAGCTCTTATCGGGCCACGACTGGAAGCTCTCCATGGGCTCTGCAGGGAAGCTCCACCTTTAAAACCCTCCAGCTTGCTCTAGGTTCTGCGGAGGACAAAGTCCGACTCGCTGCTCTGAACGTCCTCTGCTGCAGCCCGAAGACAAAAGATACTCCGACCGCGGAGGAGATGTCAATAATGAAGATATTCATCCCTCAGAACCTAAACTGTGAGTCCTCGCCTTTTCGCCAACATTTTCAGACTGCAGTGAAGAGGTTTCTGATTCGTATCAGAGACGGCTGCTTGGCTCATGTAAAAGGACAGAAGGGGAAAAAGAAAGGAGAAGACATCCACTCACAGGGGGAACAGGACATACTGGAGCAGGGAATAGGTGAGATAACTGGCAGCCGCTATTTTTATATTTGCACCTTTTTGATTGTACAGATATATACACAGTTCCCCTACTGTACTTTTTTATTTCTTTTAAACGTTATATGTCTATACTGTAGGTGTACATCTCTGTTTCTCTTAACAACTACATTATAAGTCATAAGGGGATTCGGATTCTTGTCACCTTTTTCATACCTGATGAGTTTGCATTCCTCTGTATATTGTAGAGTTTGTAGATTGGTTGGGTCAACTTCCGTACTGCTATCTGGCACCAGGACACAGTTTTCAGAGGAAGAAGACTGCGCTGCTGCTGCTGTGTGCCGTGCTGGAGACCTGCACAGACACCTGGAGCCCAGACAAGAAGAAGGGTCAACCTCCAGGTTAGTCTGTGAACCAATTATTAGAAAATGGCCGAACATTTATTTGTACTCAGTGCTTGTATTTAGTTCTGTGTACTTCCTGTTGAATCTTAACTTTATATTTGTCTATGTTATTTTGGCTAAGAGTTTATTTTGGCTGTTCAACCAACTTCGCAGCGAATATGGGGTCTCTTATTAAATGTGCCAGAGCAAGAGGACGGTGGGATTTCGTCTGCAGGAGAAAACAGCTGGTCCTCATCAGCGGTTTAGAAGATTCTACAAATGAGGTAGAGCCGCATTATCAGTCCTTATATTTATTTTATATCTAAGATTGAGGTTAAAGAATATTATTAGATAAGAGGTTTATTTCTTTTACAGATCCGTGAGCTCTCAGCTGAGTTATTGTTGAGGTTCTTCCCACCTAGTCTTCCACACGACATCGCTGCGGTGCTGCACGCGAGAACCAAACAGCTTCTGTGCAGCCCCCGGGTGCACGAGGCTCAGATGGCAGCAGTGATGATGAAGCTCCTCCATCAGAAGTAAGCCTTGCCTCCTACATGTCTTTGTTTTGAATTACACCTGCGTTAGATGTTTAATCTGTTATTCTACCTGCAGATCACAACACCAGCCTGAAGCCTGCAGGTTGAACAGTGAAGTCAGCGGGGGTGCCTGCATGGTCACACTTCTAGTGAAGGAGCTGGAAGAGCACTATTTGACAGCCAAGGCAGACATGATGCTTGCTGCCAAAACCAAGCCTATACATGGTGAGACTCAAAGTTGGGCATTAACATCTAACTGCAAGTAATAAATAAAATGCCTTTAGGAGGTTTCTGTGGCTGTAGCAGGCCTATAATAAAGCCCTAAACCCTAGCAAACAAAGTTCAGTTTTTGAATCCTGTTGAATGTTGTTCCAGGTGTTCTGAGTGCCCTCCAGAGGTGTTTGCTCGAGGCCCCCGGCAGTGTGTATGACACACTCGACCACAGTCTGACCATTGAGGTGCTGCTGCTGCTGGAGAATATGTCTCTGCTGCTGCTAGGTGTTCTGTATGGAGACCAAGATGCTTGCGCCATTGAAAAAGGTAAGAGAGAGTTCTGCAGAAGCAAAACATTTGAGATTGATTCCACCCCAAAGTACATTTCTCTGTTTTTTTTCTTAGATGCGCCCCCTTCTCTTTATGAAATGGGAAACGCAATCAGCTCTCTGATAGCCCAAGAGTCAGGAGGAGGCCAGGAAGAGGGAGAGGAGTGTGTCCTGATTTCTGAGGAGACCAGTCTCGTTCTCACCTGCTGCTGGGTCTCCCTCAAGGTAAAACAGAACCAGATGCACCATTTAAGATGTATAGATACTTCAACATGACTTACCTGTATCTCAATTGATGTTCTTTCATTTATTTTTTAAATCAGGATATAGGAATCTTTTTAGGTTCTCTGGTGGCAACAATTCTGACTGAATCAAAACCCAGCAAGTGCCTTTTGACAAAAGAGGATCTAAAGAGGGCATCAGGAGTGTTCAAGAATATTCTTCTCAAATGTCGTCACTGGGTACGTTTTATCAATCAATTTAGAGGAGTTATGACTGGATCTGTAATCTTTTCTCACAGACACATTTCTCTTCACCAGGGGGCAGTGGAGGGATGCTGTGCAGGCTTCACCAAATTCTGTGCCTCTTTATTGAGCAGCAGTGATCCAGAGCTGAGGGATATCCCAGCCCACATGCTGAAACAGGTGAGTAGTAATGTTCAGTGATCAGAGGTGGGAAGTAGTGGAGTACAAATACTTTGTTACTGTACTTGAGTACACTTTTCTGGTATCAGTACTTTACTTTTACTTCTTACATATTTAACAGAAATACCTGTACTTTCTACTTCTTACATTTTCAAAACAGGCTGGTTACTTTAGTTTTAATGTGTGTTTGGTGGCGTGATCATTATTATTTAGTCATTGCGTGCCTGTTGATTTGAACACGGTCTGTGTATCCATCATTTCCTGGTCTTCTCTAAAGAAGAGGGACCAATGAACACTTTGTCATTTTGCCGTTGTTCAGCATCGAAACATTCATTAGCTAACAATGACATTATTGTTCTATTAATATGAAGGGAGGTCAGTTACTCAGATGGTAGTTATTATGGGTACTTTTCACTTTTCAAAGCCCATACTTCTTTACTTGAGTAATGAAGTTTTAGTCAGTACTTCTACTTTTACCAGAGTATCTTTAAACACGAGTATCTGTACTTCTACTTAAGTAAAGGATGTGTGTACTTTTGCCATCTCTGTCAGTAATACATGGAGATGCTAGACTACTGTTATTGCTCCTTTATAGATACATTTCCTCTCCTTCTTCTTTACAGGGATTGCAGGTTGTGCGTTCCCCTCGCTCGACCTCTGTGACCCGCCGAGCTGCAGGGCTGCCGATGCTCATCCTGTGCGTCGTGTCAGCAGAGGAGGCCGGTAAATCGAGGCCACTGTTAGCTCTCAGTATGCAGACCTTACTGGAGACAGCCAAATGCCCTTTACCCGCGGACTTGGACCAAACACTAGACCTGCCACAGGTTTGTAGGCTTACTTTACATATTCAAATTGTTACTACTAATATTATCAACAGAACATATATGATATTCTTATATTGTTAATATTGCAGCTGTATATAAATCAAAACTATCCCCACCTTACCAGCTTCATCATTAAAATTGCATTATCAAGTTCCATTATGGGATTCTAATCCCATAATGAAATGCTACAATATTTTTATCGATTTCATTCGTCAATCATTAAAAATTATAATAATAGTGCCCATTGCGATTTCCCAAAGCCAAATTAAGTTATTCAAATGTAATGTTTTGCATGACCCACAGTCCAAAATGTAGCCAATAAGGTATAACACTGTTGAATTACTATTTTTACCTGAGTAAATTATCGAAGCACTTCTTTTACCACTGCCTTTAAAAGCACAAAGACAGATGTGGTGTCCTTTGTCCTTTCCTTCCAGGTGTGTGCGGTCCACACTCTGCAGGCCCTGGTTCGGGGGTCTGCTCTGGGAGAAGCTGTCCTTCAGTTTGCTCCTGCTGTTGTCATCCTGTCTCTCACTCTGCTCAGGTCTCCCTGCTGGGCCATGAGGAATGCTGCGCTGCAACTATACAGTGAGACTTAAAGTCCAAACTTAGAATATGTAGAATTAGGACTATGTAATCAGATAAGCTGTTTTCTATCAGAGTAGATACAAAATGGCAAATACTTCCCTTGAAGATTAAACAGTGTTTTTTTTGTTAAAATTATTAATTGATAATCAAAATAATAAATCAATCAGCTATTAGGCTCAGCTGTATTTAATACAGCAGTAATTAAAGTGTGTTTCTAGGTTCTCTGTGCTCGCGGATGCTCGGCCAGCGGCCCAGCAATGACGAAGGAGTTTCTGCTCAGCATGGCTTGTCCCCCCTCACCTTCTTCTTCCACTACCCTGCACTCCAGCCCTTTCTCCTGGGCGAGTTAAGGGGGGCAGCACGAGACCTCCAGGGGCCACAAACTGAGGCCAAGCTCCACCTCCAACCCTCGCTCTTCCCTGTCCTCACTTTGCTAGCCCAGCTCCAGCCTGGTGTCCAAGACTCAACCAAGTGATTGCTTTTTATTTACCTCTACACCGTTAAGTCAGGTTATGTTTTATTCTTAATTCTTTACACAAGGGGTTTTTCCTCGAGGTTATACAAAACGTTTTTCGAAGTTAGCTTTTTCTGTGTCTTGCGGTAGAATAAAAGTGATAAAAACTGATACCTCTGTCATGTCATGAATATGAATGTAGCTGAAACCTCAGCAGGTTAGCTTAGCTTAGCTTAGCATAAAGGCCTGAGATGGTAAAAGAATCCCTTACATTAATTTCACTGGATAACATTTTATAGGTTGCTACATTTGCCTTATTTTATACGAATTAAACAAACAAATATAAGTAAAAAGAATAAAAGCAACATGTAATTTGTGAGTGGATTTTGTTACCTGCTAACAGGAACATCTAACTCTAGTCAATTATGAAAATAATCGTCTTTCCCAAAATATTGAACCATTCCTATTTTAGTTTATCATGTTATACTTTACATACAAAGCAATGGGTAAGGACTCAGTTTTGTATGTATCAATCACACCAAATATAATTGACACAGTGAATGTCTTCTCTTTCCTCTGCCAGAACTTTGTCAGACTTCCTGCCTCCTTTGCTCCAGCTGTCTGCCAGTCCTATCTACAGTGTAAGAGTGATGGCCTCAAAGGCTTTGGTTGCCATGACTCCCCCCTCGGAGTACATGAACATCCTCCTCAGACTGAGCGCTGAGCTGCCTCAGGAGCGCTGCTGTCCTCAGGAGCGCTGCTGTCACAACCGGCTCCACGGACAGCTGCTGCAGATCAGAGCCACTCTGGAGAGAGCGCTCTGCCCCGTCAGGTGAGACTCTCTTCATTCAGGATCATAATACCTTTATTAGTCCCACAGCGGGGACATTTACAGTGTTATATCAGGTATAAAAGGCAAGCAATGATAAAATATGAAAAGCACACATTAGTAATACAAATGAAGACACATAAGTAGCAGCAGTTTAAAATAACAAAGTTACATAAATAACATTAAAGGTCCCCTATTATACTGTTTTCATCAATATATTATAGGTCTCAGATATACACAAAACATGTCTCTGAAGTGTTTGGCTCGAAACACCAAACAGATCATTGCAGCATCCCATAATCCCCTCTGTTTCAGCCCTGTTTCAAAAGTGCTGATTCTCTGTCTGTTACTTTAGATGAAAATAAGGAGCCCCTCCCCACGCCCCTCTGAGAGACATTTGGTTAAAAAGAACACAATGGTGCTCTAGGAGGAGATTCAGGTGATAAGGTGGGGGGGGTGTTACCTTGGTTGGTGATTGGCTAATGGTTACACAAGCCAACAAATCGTTACAACATCATAAACTGGCCAAAATCTGATCAGCTCATTTTCAGACAGGTTTTTATAGAAATGGATCAGGAGAAAAAGAGAGAGAATCTTTGTTCCTGAAACTTTCAGAAGCTCTTTACACAGAGGGGACACATGGTGATGTAGAAGAGACATGGAGAAGTGGATTTTCCATAATAGGTGACTTTTAAAATATTGAGACTTGATACAAATAAAACAGTTTGGACTATTATTTTTCCCCCAAAAAATGTTTTCATCATAGTACATTCATTTAGGCTTTGTAAATCATGCTGTGTTTCTATTCCCAGTGCCCCCCCAGCGGACCTGTGTGAGGTGGTGCGCAGGGTGGAGGCCTCCATGTGGCTGGTGACGGGGGCTCAGCGCTGCCCCCTAGTGAGGGCGGCTTACATCGCAGTGGCAGACTCACTAAGGAGCCTCCTCTCTGAGACCTTCCTGTCAAAGCTCAGTGACACACTCCAGTCTGACCTCCTAACACCCCAACAGCAACTTCAGGTGTGTGGCACAAATGTTTTTATAGTAAGAAATGTAGGTGTTAAATGTCAATGTATCCTTGGGCAAGATACTTAATGGCACGGCGAAAACTGTATGAATGTGTTGTATGAATGTTAGCTTACTTGAGCTAGTGGCACTTTTCTCTGTATGAATGAAGACTTGTAGAATGTAAAGCGCTTTGAGGGGTCATAAAGACTGGAACAAACGCCATATAAGTACAGATCATTTACCATTTAATGATCCCAGTCATCCCAGCCTAATCATCCCAGGCCACATCGGCATTATGGTTGCCCTCAAAGGCTCTAACTGCAAGACAACATAAATATATTAACTCTTATGATATCACATTATAGCCTCAGCATTCGTTTAGTTTTAGTATTGAAACATACATTGTGGGAAATGTGGTTTATGGACATTGTACTTCTGAAAACTCGCAGATAAACAAATATGTATTCTTTGCAAGATTTCACGGGGCAACATTAATTCAGGGGGTGGGCTCGATTTGGGTAATTTTATGCTCGAGTCAAAATATGAAGACGTCTCATCTTGACCCTTCCATCATATACAAAATGTTTTTACTTTGGCAGAATATAGTGCATTCATATAGGACCCCAATACTCATAGTTAAAAGCAGATTGAGAACATGTTGGCTTGTGAGTGAACGGCTACCTGGATGCCCTAAGAAATATATTTTTTAATGTTTTATCTCTATCACCTATGCAGGTTGGGTTGTCCTCCTTCCATCAACAAGCCATCCACTCTCTATGTGCAGATCAGAAGCGAGCGTGTCAAATCTGGGAAAACTTCTCTGCAGCGAGCCCTGATCTCAGGCTCTCATTGGTCACGTGGGTGGTGGATGAGCAGGGTTTGCAGCAGAGCGGCTCTAAAGAGGTGATCCGGAGGGTTCTGCAGGTGAGACATCATCTGCAGATTTCAGCGTGAGGAAAACAACCTCTCCAAAAACTGGTCCAACAACTTTCAGTAAAACAAGCTTCTTACAGCACAATGCGAGGAAATTAAGGGAGGCTTAAGTACAATGCCGTCTGAAATCTGGCTGCAGATCTTTTTTTCCCTCTTGCATGAGAAAGGGTGTGTCTATAAGCTTTCATTATCTGCTGTTCGTGTTGGTCATTTAGATCAACTCTAGACCACCCAGTACTGCCTTTCCATGTGTATCCTGTTTAATTGACTCTCTTTAAGATAAGTTGATAAGATGCTATGCCGCATATCTATGGACAGTAGGTAGGGACTACTGTACACGTGGCCTTGTCATTTTACGTGTTTACGTTGTTAACACCATTTAGTTGGACTGGAGAAACTGGTTTTCCTGTCTTATTGTAGTTGTCCTTAAAACGTTGCTGTTATCACAATAAATATAAAGTATTTGTTTGATGAAAAACTGAACAGATTTTTACACATATTGTTATTTATATTGGCAAAAAACATCAATCATCACAACAGATATAAAAGTCTACTATCCCCTATGCATAGTGCACTTTGTACCTGGTTGGCATTGTAAGCACATTGATAATTGTGCTAGTAGATTAAAGAACATATACTTCAAACTCTCTATCCCCAGTCAAACCTTAAGGAGGCGTTGTTGAGCAGCAGAGTGGAGTACCGCAGGATCTACCTCACAGCCCTGGTGGCAGTGATGGCCGGAGGCGACTCTACTCAACATCTCCCTCACTCGGCCACACCGGAGGAGCCAGTGCTGCCTGAGTGTCTGGATTTGTTGCTCGGGGACCTGGAGGACATGAGAGGAGGGCCCGAGTTCTTGTCCTTGGCTTTGTTTGTTGCTAGTCTGCTGCTTTCCCAGTGTTCAGACTCAAGGTTTTTATATATGTTCTGTTTTTACTTCAGGAGGCACATACTGCCCTATAACACTTCTGGCTGCAGCTCTGACTTTTTTTGTTTTTGTATATCAGTACAAGGATGTCCGTGTCCCAGCGCTGGTGTAACATTTTGGAAAGCCACCGATCCCCAGCAGCCCCTGAAGTCCTCAGGATTGCGTGTGCTGAAGCTCTATGTGTGGCTGGAGTTCCTCTAATGAGCCACAGCACTCCTCCTGCCATCATGATCAGGTGTGAAGGAAGTCAAAGTTTTGTCAAAAGGCCTTTCACAATTACTACCTTTTTATTGTCCAATAATGAGTCACATTCAATTATATTATTGCCATTTCTGGACCATTGTATACCAGCTATAACCTTTCAAAAATCAAAGGACCCGTCATTCTTTAGAATATCAAGACATTGAACTTGGAAAAACAATTGAAAATAAAATTAGACTCTTGGGCAATATTGGGAAAATCCTATTTGACCAAACCAAACATAACTCAACATGATGGCCAAAATTAAGGTTATGTCCATACATCAACGTGCTTGTCAATCAAATGATACTCTTAAATTAAAGCTGCATCTTTCTGGTTTAGGTTGATCCACACAGGCGTTTACTTGCTGCAAGACCAAAACCAGCAGGTGAGGATGAAAGCGGCCAGTTTTACCTCCATGCTGCACCATGCGAGGACAGCAGTAAGCCAGCGGAGCGTCTACTTGATGCAGGTCAACCAGGCTCTGCCGTTGCTCCTGGACCTTCTCCTGGAGGAATGCTGGGATACTCCCGGCACATTGGAGGTGCTGCTCTGTCACCTGCCTCAGTCCAACCTCAGATCTGTGCTGAAAGAGGCCTCAGAGGCAGGGTATGTCGGTATTACTGAATCAATACACTTATACAAATAGAGGAGCGTTGATTGATTATTGCTTAACTGATTTTTTGATTGCTCTCTGGTTCAGGAGTTCAACTCTGTATGAGCAGGATGAGGCCAATGTGTTTGCAGAGCCCTCTGTGATGTCTGCACATGTGCTGCCCTACCTGCTGCAGATGGTAGAAAGATCCTCTGAATCCCCTGCTGTGGCTCAGAGCCTGAGTGCCTGGGCAGAGGGAGGGGCTGCACAGCTGCTGGACAGCCTGGCAGTCTGCAAAGAGATCCAGCCAGGTACCAGTCTAAATAGAAGAATGTGTTCAATGTTTGACGAGATTCAAGATTCAAAGGTTTTATTGTCATATATGCACAAAGCTACAGTGTAGAAATGGCAATGAAAATATTATGACCTGAGCTCCTCCAACAATCCAACAAATATAATAAAATACAAAATAAAAAATAGTGCAAAAAGACTATATACATGTCAATAGAATATGATATGTACAAGAACAGATGTGAAATAAAATAATGTAAATTAAGACAAAATTACATACGGTTTATTGCGTGGATAACTATTTATATAAATAAGTATATTGCAAGATGACAACAGGAATATTTGTCGGGGCACTTAGCAGAGCTCAGGTGTTTAGCAGCCTTATGGCCTGAGCTGTTGTATATTCAAAAGTTGTTTTCTTTACAATGCAATTATTTATTCTCTCTATAGCCGAGACATTGACCCGGTCCTGGCTGGCTCTCCTCACGGACCCCCGTTTCCACTGGGCCCTGAGTGGCCTACTCACCAGGGCGGCCTTTCTTCTACGGCTGGTGAAAACATGTGAGGATCTACGACACCTCTGTGACCCTGCAGCATTGCAAATGAGTTTGCAGGAAGTGTGTAGTGTGCTCAGTGTAAACGGTGTCCACTTTCCCTCAGCTGTGACAGCTGCTGTGGCTGGAGAGCAGCCAATATGACGAGGGGCATCTTCTGTACAATCTGTGACCAAAGCCACAGGGATAAGATTACCTGTGGATATTTTAAGAATGCTTATGACATTTACATGTGCAACACTAGTAATGAATGAGTAGTGCAACCGCTGATGCTGCAGTACACCAGAATAAGGCAGGCTGACGGTTATGTAAAAGCTCAGTTGCTGCAGGTGCTTCTCTTGTATAAATCATCATATGTGCATACACAAACAGAGACGCCCACAGGGCCCAAGGTGCTGTGTTCCTGATCAGTTCTTGTTTTAGCTACAGTGCTTGATTTTATAATATGACTTTTTCTAAAGCTTTATTCAGTTTATATAATGAAGCTTTTTTATACAGAGATACAGCCATCTAAATAGAATGAATATTTTGTATTATTAGAACAGCTCCAGGTCTGTCCTTATAATCACCATCACTTCAAAGCGATGCCCAGAGGCCTGTACTACGAAGCCGGTTCAACCTAACCTGGATATGTTTGAGTTAGCCGGTTGGCCTAACCCAAAACATACGCGCTCTCGCTAAACTGTACTACGACGCGGGTTATCAAGTGTATCGCTCAAACCAGCCGTGTCCTATCTAGTTAGGTGCGCGTTCACATGAAAGGGGTGGTATTTGGAGCATTCGACCAATCACAAACATGGACAAGCCTACTGACAGCGCAGCACGTCATACTTCCTGAAAGAAAAGTCAACTATAATATTAGACATATGAAGAAGTTAAACTTTAAACATCCATGACTTAAACACTTTATCCAGGATAAAAGCCACAGAGCTGCACCTGCAAGGTGAATACAGCTGGTAAAAGAAAAAGTGTTTGAATGCGTACATTAACAGGTTTATGATATCACTGCCCCGTCTAAGACACGATCTGACTTTAATTACATTTGTCTCGAGTGTTTCGTCAACTTAATGTGTTGCTTAAAATAATACTTCTGCATACAGTATGTGACACTGAGTGTTGCACGGCCAGATACGGCTCAGCTGACTCAGATAAGGAAATATATGATACATTATGATGTGATATGCCGCGGACTGTACTTAATGTTACTCTGATCCGGTTACTTATGTTGTGGCAGATATTTAAGTAAGCTTTCTTAACGCTAATGTTATAATAGTCAGATTGCTCTGAAGATGGGAGGTGATATTCTATTAATGTTCACGTTCACACAGTCGGTGATTTTTGCCGGCCGTCTTTCCTGCAACGGCAGTTTTTCTGTATTTCCTTTCTCCTGTAATATGACTTAATCGCTTTAAACTCCGCACACTGAGCTCTGATTGGTCAGCAGGCAGTGCTTTCACTGAGTTGAGCTCTTAGCCTGCAACCTAACCTGGTCCCGACCAGGTTAGCCGCACAGCATAAGTTACCATGGAGATCTAGCCTGCTAAAAAGAGAACCAGCTTCGTAGGACCGGAAACCCCGAGTTTTCCCTGAAGTTAGCCGGCTAAGCGAAAATCCTGCTTCGTAGTATACCCCCCAGGCATCTTGTCTAAGTCGTTTGCAGCTCGTCTCAGAGCTCAGACTGAAACAATGATGTAATGCTGTATTGCCTGTAGAAATTGGCCGCTTGGTGCCCAGCAGGGGAACATAATGGAAATGTTGATGCTCCATTAGAGACCTTCTGCCTGGATAAGTGTCCATTTTCCAACCACACAAGGGATGCTGATGATCGACTAGCTCTGATAGGGGGCTGTCAGTTGCTCTGCAACCGACCACACACTAGAGCAGTCTTACATCACTAGATAGCCCGGTGCACTTGTTTTTAAATGGGAAGCTCTCAGTGTTAGACAAACAATGACATAAAAAATTAAGTTTGTATCATTACAACATAGATTTCCTTGACATACTGTATGTCGGAGGGGATACTAAATGACCTCTATAGCTACATAAGCTCTATTTCAGCTGAGGTTGTGTTGTGTGTTTAATTGTGTTTATAATCATCTAGATTATGTAACAACTATGACATCAATCTGGCATCAATGATTCATACATAAAGCTTATGAAATGTATTTCCTTGCAGCTCACCACAGTGTGTAGAGATCTGAGATGAATGTGTGCCACAGGTGGCTCTTCAGTACTAGCTTATGCTAGATAATGAAAGTTTTTTGGCAAACTGCGAAAACAATATTTTTGGACAAACCTTGGATCATCTTATCTTTTATCAACAATTCTCCCAGTTTTTTGTTTAACTCTGCCACACAAAATAACAGTAAGCATTTAAGGGACTGCTACATACTGTGTGGCTGTTTTATCAGACAAAAATATCCTGTATGTTTTAGATTCATAAATCCTTAAAGACAAAGCCTCATAGACCCTTTTAAAACATGGAAGCTAGAACATTGCGATACCTCAAGACAAAGGCAAGAAAAACTTGTTGACCTCTTGTTTATACACCTGAAAACTAAAGCATAATTACATCTTATCAGAATCTGCTCGAACAATGTGTGCATCCTTTGAAAACAAAGGTTGAGAGGTGAGTTGAAAACAAGATGGCACGTTTCCTCAAGGTAAAGTGTGTATGAAACTGGAAAAGGACCATCTGGCTCAATAACAGCCTTTGTTATCGTTGCTTAAAGTGTTTACGCACTCAGTGAGTACATGTCCTCAACGATCACATAGAAACGGAATAATGCCAAAGAGGTGTAAAAGGGAATAAGGCCAAGTGTGTGTGTGTGTGTGTGTGTGTGTGTGTGTGTGTGTGTGTGTGTGTGTGTGTGTGTGTGTGTGTGTGTGTGTGTGTGTGTGTGTGTGTGTGTGTGTGTGTGTGTGTGTGTGTGTGTGTGTGTGTGTGTGTGTGTGTGTGTGTGTGTGTGTGTGTGTGTGTGTGTGTGTGTGTGTGTGTGTGTGTGTGTGTGTACCAAGTCAAATGTTTTTCGTTTTATAAATGACTTTTGTGAAAAGTGTTTTGTCAGTTTAATGATGTATTTAGATTTGTATGCTCATATAATGAAGTGAACAATTTAAGTTGTAATAAAATGTTTGTTTTTCATACTATCAGTGCGTCTTAGTTTCATTTTCCAAACGGCATTGCTCATTTCTCCAAGTGATGGACTCTGTAAATCATCGGCCTTATATATTGTGAAACCTTTAATAACAAATGTTAGGTTAAGGCCTTTAGTGTATGGTGGTATATTTGGACTTCAGTATATGAAAAAGTAGACCTCAGCTTGTGACAAATGTCGATTTGTCGATTCCTGCCAAAAAAGCCTCAAACAAATTGACTGAATTAGTCAACTTCAGCTCAGTAAATGTATGGAAGTCAATTTCTGATAATAATTAATGATGAAACAAAGATACTTATGGTAAATAAAAATTATGAACATAAAATCCAGAGGATTAGACAAAAAGGCAGAAACTGAGAGACAGATTTTTGAGATTGGGAGTCAAATTGATCAGATAGTTTTTACCAATGTAATTGATTACTCTACATCAGCTCGGTTCAGGTAGTTGTGGAAGTCCATTACTGCTTGGAAAAAGAAAAAAACGCTAATATAAACTTTTGTAAAAGTATTTTGTGGTGGCAATAAGCTTCCACAAGTATTAGCCAGCTTGGCCATGTGTTCACCCTTTAAAGGTCTGGAGACATGTGGATTCACCCAGTGCATGCTGGGAGGGTCCCTGCCCCCTGTAACCCTGAATGAGCACAGTGTGATGGAGAGTGCTGGACAGATGCTCTGTGTTTGCTCTAGTAATTGCCTGAAAACCAGGCTGCATATATTTGAAGAGTGGCTTAGTGAACATTGAGGGACTCTCTGTATGTCAGCCGACAGTGACACTCTGCTGAGAGTATAGCTCCCTGCAGGCAGATACACAGGGAGGTGCTGCTAGCTCTCCTTTATCAGCCTCCGTAGATTCCTCTCATTCCAGAGACCCCTTAGCTATTTGTATTCTACTTGTATTTCTTTAGGCCTTTATTCTTTTGCATGTGAACAGTTCTTCAAAGCACCTTTCATTGAGCATGCACTAATTGCCTTACATTGTTGTATTTCTTTTTGTTTGTTTTCTTAAGGCTGGAGGAAAAACAGGCCTTTGTTGGAAATGAATCCTGGGAAACAGATTGGTTTTGACAGCTGCACCAAGGCACTTAGGGCCGGACACAACTCTGCAGTTGGATGGGGATTCATTGGAGTTGGATAAACTTGCAATGTTTCCTCAAAAGAACATGTAAAGCAGAGCAATTTACAGACATGCCCAGAAAATGTAATCCATCCATCCATCCATCCATCTTCTCCCGCTTATCCGTGGTCGGGTCGCGGGGGTAGCAGTTCCAGCAGAGAGCCCCAAAATCTCAACCTGTCGTTCAATGGACAGCTTCCCCCCCCCCCCCCCCCATCTATGTATATACTCGCATTTTAGACTCTGTTACTAACTGTATATCTGTAGACTTGGTATGTCTTAAATGTCCGGTTAGGATGTATTAGAACGAAATCTAAAATGAAAATTGTAAATAAGCAATCTGTATGTAAAAAACCACCTGTATGTAAATTGTAAATAAGCCATCTGTATGTCAAATATGTCTTATATGTCTTAAATGACATGATGAATTGGAAATGGGGGACCCTGATGTAAACAAGACGAAAGTCTTTCTCTGGTCTGCATCCCCTTAACAATTGTATGTTTTGAGCTGTACTGTACTGTACCCAATATACAAGCTGTTAATAAACTTTTCAATCAATCAATCAATCAATCAATCAATCAATCCTCTCCCTGGCCGCATCAACCAGCTCTGACTGGGGGATCCCAAGGCGCTCCCAGGCCAGCGAAGAGATATAATCCCTCCACCTGGTCCTAGGTCTACCCCTCGGTCTCTTCCCAGCTGGATGTGCCTGGAACACCTCCCTAGGAGAAAATGTAATAAGCATGGAAATTATTGTTGAGGAAGAAGGAAAAAAGTTGTAGGAGGAATTATAGAAGCAACCATAAAATATGTTTGATGTTAGACCATCATTGTGAATGAACCTATAGTTGACTTCCCTACTGACTGTTTTAACAACTTGTTTACTCTCGCAAGGCTGCATGACGAGATAACATGCCAGACTGTTCTGCAGCTGATGCGCGCGTGCGTGTGTGTGCGTGTGTGTGTGTGTGAACCTGGTGAGGCATTAGGACCTGGAGGTTTGTGCTGCAGAGAGGCAGCTCCTCCTCCCACAGAAGGCTGTTTACGAAGAAAGCTGGGCTCCTCTGACAAAAACAAGGGCTGGGACTCCAGCGAGAGGAGCAGTGTGCCTGAAAGCACAGGCTCTTCATCCATTTTAAACATTTTGTACATGTTTTAAATGTGTTGTTGAGAAAAAGGCACAGTTGAGCACCATGTTGTCGGTGAAGTCAGCCCGTCTGCTCTGCAAGATGTTTTTCTCCCTGCACGCGGTGTTCCTCAGCGTGGCCGCGGTGGAGAGCAATGCATCAAATGGGAATGAAAAAGGTACAAAAATACATAATGTACTTTTAAATTGTTTTTATTTAATTTGAAATGTGTTGTAAACGGTATAACATGTAGCCTAATTAGTTCAAATTAAAAATGTCCAATCTTTTGTATCACTTTATTTTTGATTGCACAATCACTTATATGGGTCGTGCTCACATTTGTTGTGCTTCTCAGATTGCATGAGATCCAATGGAGTGGAGTACAGAGGGGAACTACAGAGCTCTTCCT